AGACCTAATCTGCAATTTTCTGGTTCAATCAAGCCAAAGTAAGAAGAGTATTGGCAGAAACAGAGATAGAAGATATTTTATACTCTGTGTATAAAAGCATTTTTTTAATTATTTTTAGGAGACATGACACAGTACCTGAACTTGTCATTTTAGAGGGAACACGGCTGTGATCTGATAGTTTGGGGATTTTATTTTTTTCAATACTATGTAGACACCATATGTTGCAGACCAAATTCTCGACTAATCTAAGCAGATGTAACACCTTTAATTTTAGTGCAACTCCACTAGTTCATAGTACTGTGCAGCACTGACATTTTCATGGCTTGTATTAGTACAAGCCAATGCAATTTAACACCAAAAGCACAGCATTATTTGGTAAGGACCAACCTAGCCCTATCTACTAATGCTAAATCCAGAAAAGGCCATTACATTACACAGTCTGATCTGCTGGACAGCATAGCCCATTCACCGAGACAAAACCTCTAATTAAAATAGATTAGAATTTGATCCTGAGCATGCACATTCTTAGCCAGGTAGCTAAGAACAATGAAACAGAGAATGGACTGAGCAGCATCCATCCATAGACTTCCAGGCTTTGAATCCTGCCCTCTTTCCAGCTCTGACTGCATCTCTCTAGCTGTACATTTAAGGGTGGGGAATAAAAGATAATAATAAACTCACACACACCCTTTAAGGCCTGCAGACAATTGACTGAAGCACAAAATTCAGGAACTAACTGCAAGTACTAACTAGGGAATTCAAACCCAAAATTTCATGAATACACTAAGACTGAAGAAGAAAATTTTGTTTTCTTCTCCATTAATCCACACAGACAACACAGCTTAAAGTTCTCCGTGACATGAATTTGAAAGACTCCTGGTGTCCACTCATCAGGTAAACTCTCTCAGAATTTAATGATCCTGTTTCTATGGAGTGCCTTCTTTGTTCCTTCTCCTTCCTTGTGCCTGGAAAGCTCCTCTTATTCTGAAATTGAATTAGTTCAACTTTACCTTCCACCTACTGTACTGTGACACACCTTGTAAAAGTTGTTGTCGCATCACTTCCCATGTTTCAGGACCGATTTCCAGTTTCAGAATTTCTCTGCATCACATTACACAAGCCTCTTGAAAGGCTAACAAACAGTTAAGTCTCCACACATGCTACATGAGCACATATGGAACATTTCCTTTTATCATTGTTGAATCTTTCCAGTGATTTCACTCCAGAAGTTTCACATCCTCTTTCAATCTCTCTTGGACATTATTCACACAATTACCAGTCCTCTTCTCTGAGAAAGTCTACAAATCACGAGATTATATCACTGCCTAGGCGGTCAGCAGAAATACTAAAAAGTATCAACCTCCAGTTTTCAAGGCATGCTACTAAAAGACCATGTCTCTTGTACTGCTAGATCTCCATTTGCTGTATTATCTGTAGACCAGCCAGATTTTAATTCAACTAACACGCCTGATACATCTCACATAAGGCAAGTTTGCTTGTTTTTTAAGCATAATACAGTTTTAGCACTAAATCAGCATAAATTCAAGGATGGTATCTCGAACAGACTTCTGAAACCTACAAAACCCTTGCCAAACCACCCCCACAGAAAAAAAGAGAACATCCTCCCACAACCATTAATGTTTCCCTTAAATAATGCCTATCTAACATTCAATTCCTGCACATTTTTAAATCCGTGGTGCAGGCTGAGGTTTGTGAAGGAATAAAGGGATCAAATTGCCAATTGACTGCACAGATAGCCATGACCACCCTCACCACTGCCAGCAAAGATCAGCTCACCTTCACTACCTTCTAGAACCAAACAACTCCTGGCTACTGCTGCCCTAGCTGCATCTCTATTTGATTTCAGCATTTATACCTAACAGTCACACAACTGCCCTTCAATATTTCACTGATTTCACTGGCTTCCCATAAGGGATAAACATGCAAGTCACATGCTGGTGAGCAGGGAGTTGCTCACTGAGACTTCACACCAAATGGGAAGAGACATTTGCACATCATCCAAGGCAGGTTCTTCAAAATGGTAACAACCATTTGCTCCACTCTTTACCAGAAATGTATCATTTATAACCAGAAAAATAGAATTACATGGTCTAAAAGTTTCTCTCTTTTACTTCCAAGACTGACAGTTCTCTCTGGTGGTAGCTCTGGATGTAGAAAGCACTCAGGAAAGCAGATGCATTAAAAATAAATGCAAGAGCCTTCATACATGTTATAAGATACTGAACTTTCAGAATAAATAATTTATACCAAAGGTTGGATATGCCATAATAACATCCACCCAGCAGCTAAGAAATGTATAGGAAATGCAAGAGCAGACCACAGAGGCTAACAGAAAGAAGCCTGTCAGCTATGGCTGCAAGCCTAGTAGGAAAAATAACATCATGTGAACTAAAATTATTGGAAGAGAGCAAAGGGATGATCAATTCACCTGGGTTTTGTTTCTTTCTCCCTAATAGCTAACAAGAACACAAGGAACAGAGTACTTTGCAGAATTACAAACCTGGTGTATTTGTTCATGTTATGCAGCTACAGTTCTACGCAAATAACAAAAGTCATAGCTGCCAAGCCTTCACTTTAAAAAAAAACAAAAATGGACAACTTGGGATTTCCCATGCAATAACAACACACAAACTCTTTTAGCTGAGCATCTCATTTCTCACACTGCTTTTAGCATTATACTAACTAGCACCTTCCAGTAGTATGGTATTAACAAATACAAGATTAGCCTTGGCCAGTATACTTTCTTGAGGTAGCTGCAATCACACTGCCATCAATCACTTCTCCTGCGATGTGCTTACATGATAAAGAAAAATCCATTGTATAAGGCAGCAGACAGAACACAAAATACACACTACTCAGGTGGTGTGCACAGCACCATATTTTACTTCCATTCCCTTGCTATTAACAGATGAGGTTGAAGTGTTGGAACAAAACCCCATATGCTGACCTGGGGATGCACACCATGGCACAGAAGCAGGAGATGGGAGCTACTGAGGTAAAACAGTGGGGGAAACATAATCTCAAACCCTGTAGTAAACGCTTACTTCCATGTTCCTCAACCTCTCTTTTATATCACTGGCAATCAGGTCTGTCCATACTAAACATTTTGTATCAGGAGTTCAAAAAGACAGTGCAAAGTAACCAGTGTATTGTATAATTTATAAAGTTGCCTAGATATGCTCCACCACCAGGGAGCTGCTAGGTCAGAATACAAATACACATACCCTGACAAGGAAAACCTTTCAGTCTGAAGTCTCCTCTGTAAGAAGGCAGTCAGAATATTACACTCTCAGCATATTGCATTTCTGTGAAGTATTTTCAGCTGATGCCATGCTGACATTGGGGTTTCGTGTTAATATAGTTCTCTCTTCCTTCATGGAGGCTTGCTAAGTAAGGGAAATCTGCTAACTATACACCACAGTATATAACAATATTCAAGTCTGTAAAGCTCTTCCAGAAGACAAGACAACAGAAATAAATATTTTTTATGTATTATAAGCAAAGTTATCATAGGAATATAGAATGACTTGGGTTGGAACGGACCTTAAAGCTCATCCAGTTCCAAACCCCTGCCATAGATAGGGACACCTTCCACTAGACCAGGTTGCTCCAAGCCCCATCCATCCTGGCCTTGAACCCTGTCAGGGATGGGGCAGCCACAGCTTCTCTGGGCAACCTGTGGCAGGGCCTCACCACCCTCACAGGGAAGCATTTCTTCCTAATGACTAATAAAAATCTCTCCTCTTTCAGTTTAAAACCATGCTCCCTTGTCTTGTCACCACATGCCCTTGTAAAAAGTCCCTCACCAGATTTCTTGTAGTCTCCTTTGTGTATTGGAAGACTGTTACAAGGTCTCCCCAGTGCCTTTTCTTCTCCACACTGAGATGCCTACTGGATTCTGAAATTTTGCAATCCCTTTGCAACCTCTTTGCTTCACAGAGCACCACAATGAGGCCACAGAGGGCACACCCTACACCACACAAACAGTGGTCTGTGCTGCATCTGTGAATTTCATGTTTTCCATGATGACTAACAGCACTGCTCCACAGCTGTATGCTACATGGGTATGATGAGCACAGCCATGTACATCCCTACGTTTGTGCCTCAGTCTTAAGTCATTTTACAGAAGGGAATTGTCCATGCACCATCTTCAGGTCTATCTACAGACTATACATCACACTTGGTGAAGACCCCTGAACTCAGTAACACTCAGTTTATTATCCAAGACTATCACCTAAATATAACAGAGCACAAACAAATCATTTTTACTGCTGTCACGAGGCTGAGCACGGGAGGGTAGGATGAAGTTGAGGGGCATGCTAACTTTCAGTAAAGAACCTGGAACACTATTTCAGAGCGGTTTTCAAAGCAGGCAACAAAAAGGCTGCTCTTGCACTGCAGGCTGCTTTGTAGGCTTCAAAGGCACTAGTGTCTACTTTGGATTTTTCACAGACCACCTTGGAAATGCACATACAACCCAGACAGTGAGGTGGTACTCCTCATTTCAGTATTTTGCCAAGACACAAAATTAAAGTTTCACACCGTAAACTGGTAGAGAATTCCATGGTATGACAGAAGCTATGCATATAAGAGCCACTAACAGCTTCAGCCGAAATCAGAAGCACATTTAACACCACACAAAGTATGGAAACAGATTTATAAAAATAATTCTATAATTCCACAGCCAAACAAACTATTCAAACCTACACTATATTTCTTACCAACTATATTTGCGTAAAAAAGCTGGGGTGGGGGGGGAATCTTAAATTTGTCATTGGAAAGAAAATCCCATCATGGTATGCTTACATGCAATTCTCTTGTTAACCCTGCTCTGAATTCTGAGCAATTCCACTGACATCAAAACTATAACAATGTAAAAAGCATGAAAAAATGTGAGGACAACTGCATCTGACATCAGAATAAAGGGATGAATAATGGACAAACTGAGGCAGAACTTTAGCTGGTATAAAGCAACGTACAGATTTCTGTGTGGCAAAGTTAACTTACACTGGCTGTGGATGCTGGTCCATTGTCAGTAAATCCTGTTTTCCCAACAAACCTGTTAGGAAGAAATGCAAAAGCAGGTGTAATTATTAATGTGATGAAACTCTCTGAATTAATTTACTCCTTAAAAGTAATACATTACACCCTATAAATGGACGATGTTAGTTTTTTAAAAAGCCATTAAAATCACAGTAACTATCAAGCAAATTAAAGGCTCTGGCAATGATTCATTATTTCATTACAATTAAAAACTAATTGTATGCCTAAATAAATAATGTTGGAGTTTTACTCATGACAATGGGGAAAATAGGGTTGAACAGCTTACGTTAGAGAGAAGCTCTTGTCCTTTCACTAATGGAGAGGATTATAGGGCATGATAATTTCTTACAAACACCAGCATTTATGCTGCAGCATCAAACACAAACATCAAAATGATCAGTTGCTGCAAAGAAATGGGAGCAGCGGCGTTACTAAAACCACAGAGGGCAGCCATCTTGAGCACCACAGGGAAATCCAGTTCTGCACAGTTGGTGTTTGGGGGCACATATGTGACACAATTAGTATAACAAAATAAGTTTCTCCTTGCTGAAGCATTTGCTGCAAATTGAGTCATTAATCTCATTTATAAAACAGGCACATGGCTAGCAAACTGTGATTGGCCGAGGCAATTTCTTCTCATTAGGGTGTGAATAGCCCAATCTTGTTCACTTTAAATGTGGGTCATTTTAACTAAACATAAACACTTCAGTCCCAAGACCTTGCAAGAACTGTTACTATATTTATATGTTCAATTTAAAGTTCCAGATGTTGTGGGCTAACACCTGCCCAGACTACACTAAGGCCACGGCTGCAGGCATATTGCAGTCATCATCTTACAGATGAAGACTCAAAGACCAGAAGGATTCAGGACTAAGACTTCTGTGAGGGTGGTGAGGCACTGGAACAGGTTGCCCAAAGAAGTAGTAAATGTTTCATCCCTGGCAGTGCTCAAAGCCAGGCTGGACAGAGCCTTGGGTGACAGTCTAGAGTGAGGTGTCCTTGAAGGGCAGTTGGAACTAGATGATCTTAAGGTCCTTTCCAACCCAAACCATTCTATGATTCTAAAAGAGGATGCAGTACACTGAGGTTCCTAAATTCAAACAGCGATTCAGAAAATCCCTGTTGAGTAGCTGCCAAAATCTGAAGCAGCCTATGCTCACAAGATGTCTACCTACTCAACTGTTTACAGTGCTCATACCTACCCAAAACTGCCTTGACTGAGCTACTTGCCATATGCCTGCTGCCTTGTCCTGGTCGTGTTTCAGAGAATAGATTTCCTTTTTCAGCAGAAGCTCTCTGTGGCTTTGGATAGAGACTCTTGTCACATATGCAACCTGGTAGGAGTTGTGCAGGGCCAGGGCCAGTCCACCCCTAGTAAAAGACTGCTGCTAGTCCTAATGGAATAGCCTGTGCTTTCTCACAGCAAACGAAACTCAGTCACTACCCGTGTGGACAACTTTCTGCCTCCAGCTTGGATAGGTAATCTAACCCAACTCTAAATTCACTGCTTTCCCCTCCTTCATTAGAAACTTTCTTATTTTGGTAGATCAAATATTGGGTGAATAGAGAGTGACCAAAGCTGTAACTTCAGGTCACAAAGGAGATAGCAAAACCCCTGATCGACTTTTAGCAAAACTCCCTCTTCCCTGGTATGGGCTTCTCAGGTGCTGATTTGGTACAATGCAGGCTTCTCACCTTGAGAATGCAACAAGCTCCAACATTTGACAGCTTCTTCAAGGCTCAATCCCCTTTTCTTCCAAATGGAATCTGCACCATTTAAATGAAGCAATCAAGTACTAAGCAGTGGAGAGATCAAAGTCTGGCCTTCTTCAAGTTACCAAAGGCAACTCTTTTTTTGTTGTTTTTGTTTGGGTCATCTTGTTGTTTCTTAAGCCAACCACAAAATCCTATTAGCTGATACATGATCACCAGGCTCCAAAACCTCACATGACAACCAAAGTGCCAGGTTTGCAGCACAGCTTAAAAACCTCTAGCAAAGAAAGGCATGAGAATGTCCTTCAAAACACCAGAAGGAGCCATACAACTCAGCAGAAGTAAATCACCTACTTACCTGGCTAGAAAGGTAGAGGTTAGCCCAGACTGCTGTAAGCCTCTTGCCTACTTCCTAGGGACTCAGGGGTGAGGTCCCCCTCTATTCAAAGGCTACTTAAGAAGTGTGTTTAAGGCAAGAGGCATCATTAAGGCTAGGGGAGATGTTTCTGGTGGGTTAGTCATTGAGGAATTGCTGTTTAGATAGTGTAAGAGGTTGGATTATAACTCCCCACAACCTGAAAGCTTTGCTGAGAGAGTATCTTCTGCACAACTGTGCTGAACTGTATTTATATGCATACAGATGCATAAAAAGCGATACCTAGAACTTATGGTGTCTTGTCCTAGATTGATTTGTTGATATTTATAAATGAAATTAAGGGTTTAGGGCTTTTTTGATCACATCAAATACTTGTGCACTGCTCAAATAGGGCTCTTCTCTGAAACATGGGCTCACAGCAGCTTTAAGTGAGGAAACCTGCTTCTCATATGAAACCACTGTGGGTAAGTTGCAAGACTGTTGGGGCAGAGATGGTCAGATGCAAAGTGCCTGCTGCACTGCACTATAATGGGGTCGTCTGTTTGCAAAGTGCCTGCTGCATTGCACTATAATGGGGTCGTCTGTTTCTGGGGAGCCTCTAGACCTTTCTTCATTTAGCTAGACATAGCAAACAATTAATCAAATAATTCATGTTCTTTCCGAGAGTTTAAAAACATTAACATTTCAAACACTATGATTACAAATTTCATCAGTCACTGCACTTCCTTGATCCCACTGAAACTGAAAATGCTGCTACTTTTCTTGCTACTTCCACCCTAGGACAAAGGCAAAAAGGTGATGAATCTCAGATAAAAGAATCAGAGGAAAGCAGAGTAAATAGAAGATACAACAGCAGGCCACAACCTACTCTAGTGGATGATGCCCCTGCCTGTGGCAGTTGGAACTAGATGAGTTCCATTCCAACCCAACCCATTCTGTGATTCTGTATCTCACTTTTGCAGACCAGTAAGCTTCAGAAGACTTGGCTAAAGTCTGAATCCAGGCCTTCTGAAAACAGTCCTATGATATTATAAGCAATTGTGGCATTTGAGAGTGGGATTATATTTCTTTACAATGGTCTTATTTCATGCAACTGAAAGCAGGGCTTTCTCATCTGTTCTTTCACCTTGCACTATTTAACCCTCTTATGGCAATCCTCTTGCAATCTTGAAAAAGAATGGGAGTAACAACATTAATTCACTATTGAATGTACTGACAGGAGTTAAGGTACAGCACTCACTGAAGGCCATGAATATTTATCATTGTAATCCGCTGTGGCAAGTGTTTTCCACTTGCACTTTCTTTGTGTTTCTAGGCAAAATACAAATTTTTTTGTTGCTCAGAGTAAATACAAAAACTCTGAACTATTAACAATTCAAGCACTTGCTGTTGTTTGTGAAGTATTAGCTGACCTACTTCACTGCAGTTTTAATTAGGTATTATTCCCATGCTGTTCTCATCCCTGTGGGGATTATACAGTTGGCACTGATAGAAGTGTTTCTAGGGTAGGGTGATTCAGGAAAAGAGAGGCAGTTTAGAAACACACCATTCAAGGCAGAACAGCACGATACACTGTACCTGATCCATGCCAGCCTCCCTGCTCCTATATCAGGAAATAACAGAGCAGGGCTGCAGGTGTCCAGAAGGGAGACAGAGCTTATGTACCCATCTGGGATCAATCCTGAATTCCCCCTGAGTACAGCCTAACCCCAGACAAACCCTGCTGTACCAAAAGTACTGAAAGCCTCGGACTGTATCCAAGGATTTGTTACCTGCAGCTTAGGTGTACCACACTGACAACCTACAAGTCATTTTAACAGCTGTCAAAACTGTTTAATTTCCCAAAATAGATCTTTCTGCTTCATGCCTCAAGAACTGAAACCATTCCAAATAAACTATTTTTAAAGAAATCTGTTGAGGAATGGCAAGGCACAGATCTTAGATGACTTTCTTCTTTTACCCACCGAAAGAACCATGACAGCACAGTCACTGTGTTGCTTCACTATGGTGTATCAGTTGTATGCTGCTAACTGAAAAAAATGTATTCCCTAGGAATTCTTACAGATTTTTTTTTTTTCTGTTTTGGCAAGATAACTCTGCATGCAAAAATTCACTGCTCTGTGTCCAAAAATAAGCAGCAATACATTGAGCAAGAATTTGATTCCATGACACATGAAACAGATATGGTTTTACGCACATCAAAGTAATTTCAGAAGCAATTAAGGATGAAATACAAATCCGGGGAGCCTGTACTCCCATTGATGCGTCCCAGGGGAGAACAAACCCCTTAACTGCCACTCTCCTCTTATTATGTGTGATGCCACTGTACAGGATGCAAAAAAATTGATAGCTATGGCTGCCTCAGCTGGCATTTGGAAACAAAAAGTTAAAAGCTTTCACAAGAGTGAGGTTTTGAACCTCAAACACATCAGGCATATTGTTGTCAGCTTGTTTTCATTTTCCTCTTGAAGAGGCAGTTTTGGGGATACTTTTCCCTAAGTTGTGTCTTTGGCCATGGTCCTCAATGATGTTGCCTAACCTACAGAATCATAGAATCAACAAGACTGGAAAAGCCCTTCAAGATCATCAAGTGCAACCGTTCCCCCAGCACTGCCAAGGCCACCACTAAACCATGTCACTGAGGGCCTTGTCTACACGGCTTGTGAACACTTCCAGGGACGGCGATTCCACCACTGCCCCGGCCAGCCTGTTCCAATGCCTGACTGCCCTCTGGGGGAAGAAATTGTTCCTAATATCCAGCATCTTGAGGCTGTTTCCTCATGTCCTATCCCTTGTTACTTGGGAGGAAAGACCAGCCCCCTCCCGACTCCACCCTCCTGTCAGGTAGCGATAAGGTCCCTCCTGGGCCTTCTCTTCTCCAGACTAAACCCCCCCAGGTCCCTCAGCCATTCCTCATCACACTTGTGCTCCAGGCCCTGCACCAGCTCCGGTGCCTTTCTGTGGCCCTGCTCCAGCACCTCAATGTCTCTTTTGTAATGAAGGGCCCAGAACTGAACACAGGATTCAAGATGTGGCCTCACCAGTGCCCAGCACAGGGGGATGATCACTGCCCAGGCCCTGCTGGTCACCTAGATCCATCACCTGGATGATCCTTTATCTACTTCACCATCATCTTCCTCGTTTTCTTGATCCTCAAGTACCAGGACCCCAAATCTGTTGTAGAGGGGTACTTGGGAAAGTGACATAAACCGGGGGTAATACCTGTTTCCAACCCACCCTGCCTCTTAGGTCCCCCCCATCTGACTGGTGGCAACTGGGTAGGGAACCTTAATTTCGCTGAGTGTGGCTCCACCAGTCAATCTCCTCCTCACGTTCCCTCACACTCCTCACCCGCTCCACCTCTTCCCTCAGCACCGCCACCGCGCAGAGCGAGCCATCAGCCTGGCCACCCCTACACAGCCACCCCCGCCATCCCGGGCAGGCTCTGGCACTCACCACAGCCAGACGCCCGCTCACGAAGGAGCTCCGTCCTGGCCGGCTCAGAGGGCTTTGTTTCCTGAGCTCCCTGCCAGAGGACGCCAGCCCCGAGCCCTTTCCCGTGGGCACGGGCCCAGCTCACCTCTTGTTCCCGCCGGGCTCCCGCCCTTCCCGCCGCGCTTCCTGTGGGAATGGCCGCCCGAGCTGAGGCGCCACACGCCGCTCCCGCCCCGAGCTCAGGGTCGGTCCGGCCGGGACCTGGTGCTGGTGCTGGTGCTGGTGCTGGTGCACTCACCGCGCCAGAAACCCTTTTCTCCTCTGTTTGCGAGTTTTAAGACTGACTAAAATCACCCTAAATCTGCCTTTCCTGTGACAAATGAACGTTAAAGTGGCCACAGCCAAATCCAATTAAACTGATGGCACAGTCTGACCTCTCAGCTTTAAAATTAAGGTATTGTTTTAATTAAAAAAAAATGAGAAACCTTGCATTTCAGGGTAAGAGATGAGTGGTTGAACCTCCACTGAAACATCCTATCCAAGCGGAAAGCTTCGTGTTTAGTGTTCTCCACTTGTTGCAAAAGGGGATACATCAAGAGCTGGTAGAGCCTCCTTTCTACTTCATACACAAGACACTAAGCGACAGAGAATTATGGTCTGGTGAAACAACATATATTCTTAACTGAATCATAAATGAATTAGGTGTTATAAATGAGCAGATAAAAAATGCTAACTAAGTAGCTGGACAATTACACACAGTTCTGAGCGATACAAAGGAATTTATCCAACAACCCCCTTAGCGTGGCTTTGCAAACACATCACATGTATAAAAGGGAAAACTCTTCCTTGTGTCATCAACCAAGACTGCATACATGGCACCTTGAACACATACAGCCCCTTAGCAACACCACCTCATGCCCCTCTCACCACCGAGTGCATCTTTCCCTCTCACTTCCCTATGGCATGCTTACTTAAAGCAAAGTTAGAGTACCTCTATTTCTGATTACTCGTGCAAAACAGGATCTGAACTCCTGACAAGAGAATTGTAGCATGAAGGTACGGTCTATCAGAAGATCAGTCCTTTTTAATAGAATCATAATGCGTCTTCAAACCAGCTGCACTTAAAAGGAATGCAAGAAGTGAAGTGAAGTGAAACTGTAATGGCACAGAAAGCCAGGCAGCTTCCATGAGGTTCACTCATCACTCACCATTCAGCTGTGGGGCACCTCAGCCTAACCTTCCAGCAATCTGGGGAGGGGAAACCAGCAAAGAGGAGTTCCAGCTTGTCTTCTGTGCCACCTGGGTAGAGCAGGTACAGGGTCAAGTGTAAGGCAGCCACTCTGCTGGCAGATCAGATATTGATGTTACCGTTTGAGGGCAGTGTCATCTATAAGGAAACACAAAGAAATGTCATTTTAACCACAGGCATGGGAAACAGGGACAGAGCATTCCTAAGCTGCTGTATAAGCCGGGCAGCTACAGTAATGAGTTACCGTGCTCTGGGACACATCCTTAATACTCTTGCTCACTCATTAGGCTTTGATTTGTCACAGCAGGGTTATGACTGCTCTGCTTGTGCTGTAACACTTCATAGAAGGTTAGGTGACTTAATGAAGCAGTCTTTCTCCCATCATCTATAAACATCCAGTTAAACCACAACAGGCTTCATTAGGGTGACATAAAACAAGCAGGTTTTGAAGCCCTTGCAGGAGGATGTGATCACACAACTTTGCAATGACTTTTATAGGACTTGTGGCAGGAATCTCACCAAGGTACCCAAAAGACAGCAGTGTAACATCCTGCTTCCCCTGTGGCACTGCTATGCTTCCCTACTGCCCCCCCCCCCCCGAAGGAGGTTTTGGGGCAGCGTTATTTTCCTATGACCCAGGACACCTACAGGGCAATACCCGATAGATGGGCTTCTTTGAAATCTGGAAAATCATTGCTCTTCTCGCAGCTTTTGCTGATGGTTTCTGGGCTAAGCCCAAATACACAGATCATAGAATCACAGAATCAGAGATTGGTTAGGGAAAGGACCTTAACATCATCCAGTTCTAATTCCCTGCCATAGGCAGGGACACCTCCCCCTAGATTAGGCTGCTCAAGGCCGGTCCAACCTGGCCTTGAACACTGCCAGGGATGGGGCAGCCACAGCTTCCTTGGGCAAAGGAAGTGGAACAGAAGTGCTTCTAAAAGTTTTGGTAGGGCAGGAAGCTCTGCCTAGGCTATGGATTCACTTTAATGGCCTCAGATGTTGCCAACTCTGTCATTACTTCTTCCCATTCCTCTTAGCTTTTGCAGGACCATGGGACTGGCCACTGGAACTGCACAGGCAAGGCTAGGGGCAAAGGAAATATAGGAACTGGGGAACAATTTTAAGTGGGCAAAATAAGGTGGTTATTTTGCATTTGTACAGGCTGTAGCTTGTACAAAGAACTCCAAATTCTGTTCTCTGTATCTATATGCAGAAAGCTTTACAGTGAACCTCAGTTCTGCCTGAAGGATATGCATTTTTTTCATCATAAGCATACATATTCCAGTGAAAAATACTCATATTCACTAAAGCTCTGTTTTTGCAGTGTTCTTTTCCATTTTCTTAAGTACTAATTGGAGACACCAAGAAGTGAAATACTGACTTGAGAAAAGTGATTTCAGTATTGCCTTGTCAAATCACAAGAGACAGTTTAAGCCTAATTAATACAGGGTTTGAATGGGTGAGGTAGATCTCACAGAATTACAATTGGCACAGTTATATTTTTTGTTGCAAAAGGTTCGTATGAATCTAATGCATACACAAATAGTCTAAGCTTCAAGTTGGGTAGCAGTCAAGCCACTGCTTTCTGAAGAAAGGATAAAATTTAACCTCTGTGACTCCTGATCACCCTGACTTCTTAAAGCTAATGACAACAGTGCATATCTTATTATCTACCCTGTAACATACCATGCCATAGCAGTCAGTCTTACATTGATGAAATGGAAATGATTAAGTATAACAAATCTGAGTCACTACGTAGGAGCAGAAAAAAGACTGTATATTTTCTGTTCTCCTTTCTTTTTCATACCTAAGACTTAAAAAACCACCATATACAAATTTAATCACAGCCTGCTACTCCTGAGCTATAAAATATGAGCCATGCCTTGAAAGAAATGGAGGAGAAAGAAAGTAGAGATTCTTAAAGAAATGCCACCCATTAAAGACACCAGAAAATCTATTGTAAATGTTTTTCCAGGTCCTCATCTACATTCAGGGCAATAACAGAACCCTTTGTGCTTACTCTTGTTTTTATGACTCATGAAAGCCATGTCATATTCTGTGCATGTAGTGGGTTATTCTTTTTGACTGAATGTGCAACACACCCTAATGCTAGGGCTGACTGCTCCTCCTACAAACATATTTATCTTTCCATTTCATTTTATTTGTATTTCTGATAGTGGTGTTGCACATGCTGGAATTCTGACTCAGCTGAACATGGAACAGAAGCTAGTCGTGAAACATTTTGGACAGGCTTTGGAAAACACCATCCATGAAAACGTACCTTCAGGGAGTCAGCAGCAAGCTACTGAGGGTATAATATCCTTGTAAAGCTGGGCTAAGCACTGGCAAAGTCCAAGCAGGGACACTATTACATGGTCAGGAAAAATATGCCTTTAATGAGCAAAAGACAAATATGTTTTGCTTTTGTGGAAATACATTTAGTGAATCATGCAAGTGGGCAGTTAATTTCATTTCTACGATTGTAGTTCATTGCCTTGAATTGTAAATTTCTAGGTAACATTCAGAGAAAGAAGTCATTTATAAATTGCCTCATTTCTTTTTGTATTCTATATTAATACTTACATTAATTTTCAAGCTACAAATAACCAAAGGTGGCAGTGAAGAAACAGAAGTTGGGTTGCTGCTCTAAGGGAGGGTAGCATATGCAGCTGCATATCTTCATATAGTGGAACTGTCATGTGAGAAGAGTTACTCATACGCTTTAATGTTTCACGAGAAAGGTCTTGGGGCATATTACATATTTTGCTCTATGGAACACAAAATTATTTTGTCTTTCATCCTATCCAAAGCACACTGAAATCACTGTATGCCTTGCTTTGACTTCACTGAGATTCGAGTCAAACTCACAACTGTAATTATGAAGAGTAAACAGTGATCATAATGATTTGTGATCATTTTGGTGACTTATAAACTGAAATGTTGGTCTACTTTGCTCATAGCCCATTTCCTTTTGCTCTATGTGGACTGGAATTGATTTATGCACACATCAAGTAGAAAATGAATTTGATCCTCCTTTTTTTCCAGTAAATTCATCCAGAGCGGACAGCTATTTCCTTACTAGAGGGCACCAGCATCTGCCATTAGCATTTGTGCCAGGTCAGGATACTAAACTGATCGCGATGCCTTTTTTATGGCTGCCACTCACAGTTGCCTAGAACTTGAGGGCACATCTTCAGGAGAAAACCCATGATGCTACAGCATATGCTGCCTGGCTCTGCATAGAGCACTGGGTGAGAAGAGGGGTGTTCAAATTCACAGTCTTTCCAGCTGGTCAAGCTTATGCATAGCAGTATCTTGAAGTGATGCTAACCACCACAGGTTTGAGTGTGCTGAGTGCCCTGCCAAGTTCGTTGTGGTTCTGGTTAACAATTTTGATTATATTTTCAAATACAGGCAGTTCTTAAAGTTCCCTTTTATCTGTTTTTCTACTACCATCTTTTTAGTGCTGCTCCTAACATGTGCCTCTAACTAACAGGGACAATTACAAATACACCAAAAGTTAATCAGCCCAACACAAGAACAGGTGTTTTTGCAAGTTTCCCAGGTCTTTGACTGACGCCTTGGCATGGGCGCATCACAAATGCCTCACTGGTCTGTGAACACACATGTATATTGGAAATTGGGCAGGGGAGGAAGAAAATGGAGATGTCCCTCCAGTTGCTATGAGGAACAGTGACAAATAACTAAAACCCAAGTTTCACCCCTGTGTCGTTCTATAGATGAGATTTAGTTACGAATTAGGATTTTACAAGCACTCGCATCAGCACAAGACACAAACCACACAGCTACCAGTTTGGCTGTGGGAAACAAGGTGAACACCCCAGAGATGCATGTTTCCTTGCAACATTTCTTAAATAATTGTAAATGACTGCCATGTCTATAGAAATACAATTCTGTTCAGAACCACTCGAAACCAAAACTGAGGAGTGGAGGTACAGGAATGGAATCTTGCAGTGAAGAAGTGTTCTAAGTGTCTCTGGGTGCTGATATAGATCCATCTCTATTCTGCTTGTGCTTATTTTCTAATATGATATATCCACAGCCATTTAAATTCAGTGAATAGGTTTGAAAGCTGTAGCGTGTTTCTGGCTTTTCTGATACTGTTTTAATATGTTTGCATATATGTCCTTTCACTGTATCTATCTGTTGTGGTTTAAACAAAGTCAGCCATAAATCACGCAGTCGCTCTCTCACTCCCCCCCTTTTTGCCCTCCCCCTGCTCCCGGAGGGATGGGAAGGAGAATCAAAAGAATGCAACTCCCACAGGTTGAGATAAGAACAGCTTAGTAACTAAGGTACAACACAAATCACTACTGCTACCACCAATAATAATAATGATAAAGGAAATAACAAGGGAAGAGAATACAACACCTCACCACCTGCCGACTGATAACTTGCCCCCCCCAGCCCAACCAAGCACCAACCGATATCTAGTCCAACCCCGCAGTCAACTAGCCCTTGCAGGTAACTCCCAGTTACATCCTGGGCATGACGTGCTGTGGTATGTAATACCTCTTTGGCTAGCTTGCGTCAGGTGTCCTGTCTCTGCTTCCTCCCGGCTTTCCCTCCTCCCTGGCAGAGCATGAGGCTCACAAAGTCCTTGGCCAGACCAAACATTTGAGCAGTAACTAAAAACATTGGTGCTATCAGCACTGTTCCCAGGCCAAGAGTCAAAAACACAGCGCTGCATCAGCTACCAAGGAGAAAAAATGACTGCTACTGCTGAACCCAGGACACTATCCAAAAAGACCAGACTTCTTGTTTATTTGTAAATTATATAGAGTTTGTTTCCAGAAAAGTCCCTGATGGTATCTGGCTATTTCAGTGGATGAAACGCCAGATTCTGTTCTCGTTGTAGGCAAAAGAATGACTTCTGGTGCCAGAGAACTTCATCACAACATCATAGTTTTAAAAAACCTCAACAAAGAAACAAACTAGTAGAGAAAAGGATTATAGACTCATGGAACTTTTTGGGTTGGAAGGGACCTTGAAGCTCATCTAGTTCCAACCCCCTGCCACAGGCAGGGACATCTTCCACTATTCCAGGCTGCTCAAAGCCTTGTCCATCCTGGCCTTGAACACTTGGTAAGTTATTTTATTCTAGGATTTAACTTGGTAAGTTATTTTATTCTAGGATGTCCCTTCCAGCCTTATGAGAAGGTTTTATGGTTCATGTCTGCTTAGGAGGAATGGGTTTACTTTCGTAGATGCAAATAATAAGACTCAAGATTACATTAGGAGTCCTACTGTAATCCCTTATACTGGGATTTGCATTATTACACTGGTATAAACCCGAATCCTTATTTTGATCAGTGATGATGACAAGACTCCCTCCAAGCCCAGAAGTCTCGGGATTGGTTCTCCAATAAGGCTAATTATAAAAATAAAAGTAAACATACTCACTGGGAAGTACTTTTCTTTAAAGCTCCTACATATCTCCCCTGTTGTCCAGCTTGAAGATTTGAAGGACGTGAGTAAGCATTTCAAAGCAGTTTCTCCATCATTTTCCTACATGTTCAAAACCCTTCTAATCCTGCCATCTTCATTTCCCGCAGTGCCAGCCTGCAGATGGTGTCATTCTCCAAGGCCACTACGTCATTCTGTTAGCTGAGCCAGAAGCATTTCCATGTTCAGTTTATTCAAAATTCTGTTGCAACTTTATCTCCCGAAGATGTATGTTCCTGGCTTTGGAAGACTGAATACCTAGGGGAGAACAAAAGAAAGCTGCACAATGTGATGGCAATGGATGGGGAATCGCTGAACTCCACGGATGTGACTTGTTCTACAGTGCTCACTCTGTTTGTTGGTGCTATGAAGGGCAGTAATCAACACTATTACCAATCCTTTCCCAGCCTCAATATCCCACATCTTAATTTTCCAGACAAATTATACAGACCAGAGAAGAGTTCCCTGTGCTGGTCTGTGAATCACAGTTGGAGAATCCCTACACAGAAAAGCCAAGCATGTTGTAGGAACAAGTGACAAAATAATCATTTCCCAGAATCAGTTTTAACACCTCCCCGCCATCCCCCCAACTACACTTTGTAACTTAACATAATCTACAAACCTTTTGATCACACTTTGAAAGTAAACTCTGGTCCTCCACTGTCCAAGGATTTATGTGAGTTTCAGGAAGACAATTAAGCATGTTGAAGTTCTTAGTTTGAATGTATTTACTGTTGTGGTTGAGACATATGAGTGGCCATTAGCTCACGCCAGTTGAGGAGATGGTAAGAGGGGTTGTGTTGATGAAGGTCATTTTAGTGGGAATTAATTAACCCTTTTATTCACAATTTGTACACCTTAAAGACCGGTCCTAAGCAAGCCTGAATTTTCAATAAGCATTCCCAGTGCCTTTGTTCCTAAAACATCATGGCAGTACCCCACTTACTGTTGTATGAAATCTGTGAAGGGTGCCAACCTCATTATTAGCCAAAATACCAAGCAAAGCTGAATTTCTTTCAAGCTCTTTTCCGAGCTGAAAATTTAGGGATTGCTGATCCGCAGGTTAAATCCCATGGGTATAAATGTTCCAGTTCTAGTCAAGAAAATCGCAGAAGTCTCTTAGGACAAGAGATTTTTTTCTAGTCTCCAGTAAAAATTACCTGCATACTCAAAGCTGAACATCTGCCTGAGTGTTCTGTTGGATTGAAACCAAAATGCTTAGCACTTCACCAGGGAGGGCTTTGACAGTCTCAAGGCCAATGTTTTTTACAGCAGAGAGCCAAGGGATCAAAGGATTAAATAATACAGAAAGAATGCTGAAAATACAAACTTACTGCTTTGTGTCCTCAAGGAGGTGACAAGGTGCACCCTTATTACAAATTAGGAAAAACCCCACAAATCCTTGTAACTGTAGTAGCTGTGAAAGTCAGGCACTCTGGGCACAGGATTTATTATGCCTCTACATCATCACAGGCTGCATTCATTTACAAAAGTCCTTAACATCGAGAACAAAAGAAACCAAATTTCATTGAATGCTCCAAGCGTGCTGCCTGCCTCATGCTTCGAGTGCTACTTCACAAACTGAGCTGCCAGGAAATAATAATATAATTAGGCAGCAATGACCTTCAGGTCGGACACTTCCTGGCAGTTAACCCAGTCTTTAACCTGACGGTTCCACTACTCCTGGGAAGTACCCGATCTTGAGGCTTTCATAGCCACGATAACTGCAGGAGTGCTTAAAACAAATAAATTACCATTTTTATGTGTTGAAAAGTTAAAAACTGAACTGCACATTGCCATGGAGACGGTGAGCTATTTAGAGCACAGAGATTTTCTAAGTAGTGAGAGTCCAGTTTAATATCCAACAGGAAAGAATGTTTCAGTCTTTATGTTTTGTTAGGTTTATAATCATTATCCTTTGCATGTAGGATGCACAGAGAAAATGTTAATTGATTCCCTGAAGTTATCTGTGCAATACTATTGTATTGGAACTGTGTATTCTGTTCCGGCCTGCTCCAGCTCCTACACCACACCCTTTCTCTGATATGTTAGCACATTACTAGGCCATCAGAAGGGGCAATATTAAGCATTGTTTAAGCATCAGTCAAAATAAATACTGCGATAAACTGCCTTGAGTTTGCAGGCTCTATATAATACACAGAGTGCCCCAAATGACAGGTGTCCAAACTTGGTTAATGTTCTCTTTTTTTTTAATGTAGTTTTAGGGAATAGAAATGTTCCCCAAGTTTGCTGATAAACGCAAGTAGAGTTCTGCTATCTGGATGTCAGATAAATGCCTGGTGTGTGTAAACATGGTGTGTCCCAAAGCATTAATGCATTTTTAGCAAGAAAGTTCATTGATCCAGAAAGTCATTCTGACACTTTGCATTCCTTTTTGTTTTGTTTTAAATGTTTTTGTCATCTTGTCAAGGACTAGAAAACAACACATGAATGAGCTTTTATTGTAAATATTGATTCTAAAGCAACTGATTAGACAGAGACTCTGGGTATAACAAACGGAGGAGAAGAAAATCGTGTGGATTTAGCTCCCAGTTATCACATACAAACAGTTTGGCCAGTGCTCCGGTTTTGTATTATTGGATATAACCCTCTGAGTGGCAGTGGGGGGTTTTAAACTAACTTTTTAAAATAAACAATGACTTGTGAAGTGGTTTACAAATGATTCAGTGCAATGTGAAACAGAGAATGACTCAGGCATTGTCAGGATGCCTCAGAGTGACACAGGCTTTCCTGCGGGACACTAGCAAAACAAGGCTAAATAGAAAGCTATCAAGCAGTCCTGCTGAATATCTGAAAATGGGTCTGAAAGGTGAAAGCGATCTGGGATCTGAACATTCTGATTTATATACAAGTTGCAGAGGAAAGGTCTTGTGCAGAAACATACTGTAAACAGTAATATAAGCTATAGGAATGGAAAAATAATCAGTATTTATAAAAAATGTACTAGATTAGACATGGGATGCTTGGATTTTACTTCTTCCTCTGACAGAATTCTTACAAGGCCTTCCAGAATCTTTTTCTGGAATGCCTACCCTTTCTCAGCCCCACAAGTGCCTGGTTTATTTAGAACTAGAGTCATTAATCAGTTATTGGCCTCTCATTATTTCTTCTTTTTTCTCCCCTCTAAGCGTAGACCACTGAGGTGCTGCATAACATACTAAAAGTCTTTTCCAACCTAGCTGAATCTCTGATTCTCTACAACAACTTTCAGGTCTCAGGTGAATTTTATTATATTAGTGGATGAGAAGTCACTACCTATTAGCTATTTATTTTTACTCCCTTGAAAATTTCTAATGCTGTAAGTAGTGCAATGCCCTGTATATTAATTTGCTCAGCTGTGCAATAAACTGTTCAAAATAGTTAACCAAAACTAATATGAAATCGTTATAAACAATGAGTCAGAAATTGCTCTCAAAATGCCTCTAATATCATCTGTATTTGAGAGTGTTGCGCTGAATTTAAGAGAACCTCAAGCCACGGCTGTCCTCCAATTGAGGGGAAAGATCTCTCTTCCGGAGGCACCAGCATTTGGTGTACACTGGTAGTGCACAGGTATCCCAGGTTGGAAATGCAACAAGACAAAGGTGGAGTCACTGCCTTCCCATAGGGATAACTCACGTCATACTGAAGGATGTGACTTTGGACACTCGAAATTATGCCTGTGCAGCAGGTGAATTATTTGCTCTGTACTTCACACCAAGACCCTGTAGCCACAGTTACTAAGGCACCAGCCTGAACTAATAAACTCTTCTCCTACAGACCAATATGTTGGCTTGGAGCACAAGCAGAATGAGCTTATCTCTGCCTAGAAAAGCTCTCTTAAATATATATAATACTAGTATACAAATACAGGCTTAACCATAATTAGAAATCCCAATTCTCTTCATTTGCTAATAAAGGTGACCAGTCCAGCCTATGAAAATCGTCACATACCTGCAAAACAAGTGAGAAGCTCACCAGAGTGCAGTCTCAGAAGAAGATAGCTTGCCTGGGACTCTGCCAAGCTCTGCTTTATCAGCATTCAGGGCTCTTGTCATGTTTGTGGAGAGGAGACAAAACAGCACTGAAACAGAAGAGAGAGAAAATGAGAACAGCGATAAGGACTTCCTTAATTACTCATATTCTGAACTTTCACTCTGGTAGTGCATTTTCAAACTCACCTTAGGGCAACTAATTGCCAACATTTGCAAATACCTCAGAAGAAGCAGGAGAGGTTCTGCATATCTTTCAGAAGGATGCTGTCATTTACCTGCCCTTTACATTATGATCATTTGCTTCCATTACATCAATAAGCAATTGCTCTCTCTCTTTCTCACACACAAGTGATCTCTGCCCTTGAAGAGCAGGAGATCATACATGACTATAAAGGAAAAAATACAGTTATCTTCTGGTATTTTAGTACAGAAAAAGGAAATGACAAACACAGTAACTCTCCAGCAGAAATACTTGGTATTTTTTATTCTTGAACTCGAGAGAACTGCAAGTGTATGCTCTGGGAATGGCATCAGATTATCTAGGGTGGAATCCAGCAATAAGTAGGGATGGGGCAAACTAACATATCTTGTTTCATCAACCAAATATGAACAACATCCTTCCCCAGGCATCATGGTGGCATCATAGCGGCAGCAACACATTCACTGAGAAATAGGCCAGAGTTGGCACCAGCAGAGACAACAGGACTGCTGTGTGCCAGCTGTAAACCATTCTCTGGTCCTACCTGCCCTCATATGATTGACTCGTGCAGTGATGTTGATACTGCTTTGGGTTGAAGCTTTCTCTCCATCTGTCTGAGCAGAAGATGAGAGATCTGAAACAGTGTCTAAGGAAAGCCATTCTATTTATAACAAATGGCATGCTTTTCAATCTTGCATTTTTCTGGACTCCTATGTACCTTTCTAGACAGATTATAGATTCCATTAAAAACCCCACTTCAATTTACTTGAAGTTTGCTCTTGCAATTTGCCCAAAGATAAAGAGTTTCACTATCTCACTATCAAACGTTTACAGTACAAAGAGTATCAGTGACTAAAACCTGGACCTTATTTTGGGATCATAACTGTACATGAACCAGTAAGATTGTTGCTAAAGCCTATTGTTCACTGCAGAACAAAAACAAGACAAACATTAATGATCTATTTTTCCCTGACTGAGGCTTTGAAAAATCAGCAACTGTAAAGCCAAATGTTGTTTTCATTCACTGAAAGCATGGTTCAGCAAAGTACTAATTCTGAGCCTAATTTTAAATGTCTAAGTAGACTGATCTTAATAGGAGTACTCAGGTATATAAACTAGACAAAGAAAAGAGTATCTTGCAGAACCAGGGTATAAATAGCTCTCAAGAATGTAAATTTTACTATCTTTTTTTAATGCAACACTCCCAGGTTCTACCAGTGTGAAAGATCTGTCCCACCAGAGCCAACATCTGGCTCCTGGGTAAGTGTCCAGGGTAAGATATAGGAGAGAAACCACACAAAATCTTCATTAGGAAGCTGAGAATGTTGATTTTCTTTCCCCTTTTAGTTTGACTTTCGCAAGCATCTTCCTTTTCTTCTCCCCCAAAGGAAGGTATAGTCAGTGATTACAGGTTTGTGCAGGACCTTCCTCTCCATCATTCCACCATTTCCTTCTTTATTTTGTGTTGTGACCATTACTGCAAGACCTTTGCCACTGTTACTAGACAGCAGGATGTCACCTTGCAAGTAGTTGCCTAGGGACACTTGAAGTGACACTAGCTGCATCTCTCAGTGTACTGGGGGACACAGTAACCCCAGAAACAGCATGAAATTTAGCCTCCACATACACTAAGAATTTCTGGAGTCATAAATCTCCATATCTTAGCCACAAAAATAAGAACAAATCGGATTCTTGGTGTGCACAAGGTCTGTCAATGGAGAAAATTGATTTTCAATGTGTTCCAGCAAAAGAAAGTCTGGGTTGAAAAATGCTTTTCAAGCTTTAGCTCTTAACAGATTAAAAGAGGGAGAGAAGATCTTACGAAGTTGTACCTAGGTTTGTATTCATTTATGCCTCATCCCTTCTGTCACCTCATATGGTGCTATGAAGCACAAACTGATTTCTAAAAGAGAGAGGATCTGGCTGCTAGTAACATATGAACCATTTTGGACTTATCACAGAACACCCCCCCCCCCCCCCCGAAATGCCAGAATTCAGATGGACCACAGCTTCTGTCCTTTTTTTCTTTTTCTTGTTTTCTTTCTTTAAAAGCCACATTAAATTGCATGAAAAAACCCATGTTTGCATTCTCACGTTTTCTGCATTTGAAAACTAGGTGTGATAAAAAAACCTCATTGTCCAAAGGTTTTGGTTGATAACTTCTCAATTCTCAGTAAAATCAGTGCGTAGGAGATGTTACCACTCTTTCAGGATTTATATCTCAATTCAACTCTTTGACATGTTGCTGCAGCAGCACGTGACTAGTTGAGGCAGAAAATACATGACACAGAAACAAATTGTAATTTCCCTTACTGAGGTCTTAAAGCTCTTTAGTTCTTTTCCTTTCTAATGCTGTGCCCACTGTTTCTAATAGCTTGGTAGACCACAGAAGGAAAATTCTCACTCGAGAGAACACATTAAATGAAAGTTGAAGCCTCTTAGTGCCTGTCCTTAGGCCAAGTAAGTGATATTTAGTGTCACTTAATCTTCAGCAGTGATGTACTCTATGACTAAAATGAATCATTCAGATATGTAAAATACTGTTGACAGTGATAAACTCAACCTCCAAAGGATCAAGAAGCGCACTCTTGTTCTTTTTAGATTTTCAGGTTATGCCCTACAAAGTGCAAATAAAATGTAAGTCTAGAGAGTATGCTGGGTCTGTAAACCCCAGCCCCAGCAATCCTACTCACTGAGGCTGGATCCACTGACTGCACTCTGTGGCTTTCATCATCCTGCTCCTAGACCTAATTCACTCACTAATTCACATCCCCTCAAGAAGAAAAAACTTGGCAGCCTCAAAGGTTACAGAGCATTTTAGAAAGTCTTTGCTTACTAACACATGACTCCTAGTAGTCTGGGGGCAAAATTAGATGATTTGATCGCTAATGTTCAGGCATTAGATGTCAATACTTCCAGAAGCCCAATAGAAATACCTCACCACTTTGCTTGACCTCTTCGGCTTTCTCCAATGTTTTCTGGTGTGATATCACAGCCAATAAATTTTTCTCTCTGTGCTTGGCAAGGCTCCAGATGGTTTTTAAGTCACTTGTTCAGGCAAAAGAAGAATGGTACATTTGGGATGAAATTATCCTGGAGGGCATTGTTGCAATTAGAGAGATGAATGGCCTTCAGCTTTAATTAGAACACTAGGTACACGTTTCATATCCTTAATTCAGAGGAATCCAGCTCAGTCTGCTAGGGAATGTAGTACTACTAAGTGAATATCTGTAGAACTACAAACATCACTTTATTAAGAAGAGGCCATTTCAACTCCATCCTATATTTACTTATAAACAAAATACAACTTAGGAAAAAGCATCCTGACTACTCCTGGCTCATTCCTTTTAGCATGTTAAAGCTGCTTGTAAATTCGCAATGGAATAGTGTGCTAGAGAAGGTTGGATGGGCATGAAAAGTGAGATTAGTGCATTTATAGTACAGTTATAATCATGCCCATGCCAGATAACATGCAATTACATATCTCAGATCTCATTCTAACAGTGAAATTGGTTTTGTGCTACTTGAACAGAACAGAAATCTGTTCTTTAAACCATACTGCTTTCTTGTGCTTTTCAAGCTTCATGAGACAACCTTTTATGCTACATACATATGCAACTTCACAAACACAAAAATACTAAGAGAACATTATTAAGGTCATAAAGACAAACGTTCTTAGGGTTAGGAAAGAATTAAGATTGCTAGTGCTGTCTCAGCTGAGATTCTCTTTTCTGTGTGACTTATGAAATAGCCTTTGATGATACAAGCATATTTCTTTTTCCACAGCATTTTTCCTACCTCCTTTTGTGCATAGAATGGACTATGCTCACTTAATGAGCAGCAATCCAGTATTTTGCTTTCTGCTTGTTGTTCAACATACTGCCCCAGGCCTTATTTACTGCACATTTACAAATGGGATTCTGAAGACAGATTTATTAATTTCCTCTTGGGTGTTTCTGTGGTGCTCATCATTAGTGTGAGTGCTTCACAAACATGATACCATTTATCTTCCCAACACTTTTCTGAGGTTAGGGGACAGAAACATTCCCAGGCTACAAAAGGGAAACAGATACAAGGAAATTAGATTAAGGGGAAAACACACTAATTCTGGATGCCTTGTTTATGACAAACAAAAATTAGCAACTAATAAGTGACAGGATTTTCTATTAGAGTCCACATATTTTCTCTTGTTCATCACATCATTTCTCAAATTGGTTTGGTTTCTACTCTGCCAGCTCTTCACCTTGTCTGTGTTTCCTTTCCCTCAGCTTCATCCTCCCTTCTCGTGCTGGTTCCCAGTCTGAAATGCTCTTACCAGTTCCCCAGCATCACCTCTGTATTCCTCTTTCAGATGTTTCTACCAATGGAACTAGATGATCTTAAGGTCCTTTCCAACCCTAATGATTCTATGATTCTATGATTCTAATACCACCCTTTGTATTTTAGGCGCTTTTCATAATTCTCTCTGTCTCTTGCTCCATTAATTTAATTTCCATTTTTCTAGTCCAACCAGTCTTGCAATCTCTTCTATTTCTTCACACAAACTTTCTCTCTCTCCCCAACTGTGTTATTCTTGTTCATCTTGCCCAGCAGTCTCCATCTCCTTTCCTCACTGCTTTCAAACTTTTTTTCCTCCTTTCCCTCTGCCACCTCTACACTTTAAGCTTTTGCCCTTTCACTTCATTTCACATTGTCACTAGTGTACGCCTGCTTCCTCAGCAAATTCCAGCTCTCATTCCTGTGAAGGGGTCATATTTCTGGTATTGGTGCCCAGCAGGGGCTTTTCTTCTTGGACAGGGGAAATAAAATCCTTTCTTTTGTTGGTAGCACACAGGCCTGACATTATATGTAATTACCAGGCAGGCTGTTTCAGTCCTGCATTAAACCATGACCCATCCAAGCAGAAGCTTTGAAAGACTTAGCTGTCAAACTTACAAACTTTGTTGAACTCCAGCAAACCAGCAAAGAAACTGACAGTGGAAATGTGGAGTTCTTCTTTTTTTTTTTTTTTTCCTTTAATAGATATAACAACAGGAGCATCCCTAACAGAAACTCCCTTCTCTGTTCATATTTGGAAGCCTCACTCTGAAAGTGGAAATACTGACATGACACAAATCTTTTTTGGAAATGTGGAACAGAAATTTATATATAGATACATAATTTGTATGGGCCTGTTACAGAAAACCCTGCCCTCAAAATTCATGTTTTGGAGAGCTACAACACCCTATTTCAGTTTCTTGTAACAGGAAGTGTTTGGCAACTTTAATTATAGAAACTGTCATCAGCCCTACCTGAATGCACCCATGTAAACTACTTGTGTGTGTGTGTGTGTCTGTCTCCATGAAGGAGTGGGGAAAGAATCTAATAATCCAGATAAGTGCACTCACTGAAACATGAACATATACAAGTGCCTTTAAGTTTTCATTTGCTTAAATAAAAACACCCAGGGGAATTCTGTAAGGGAAAATACATAAAGCAGAAAAAAATAGTTTTCTGGGCAATTTATCACATCCTGTCTCAAACCATACAGTCCTCTCGGCTCTTGGAGAAAAAAGAGCTAGCTCTTGTTAGTGGTGGACAAAGAGCACCACAGTAGAGCTGAGTTTCTGCATTATCTGCATTGTCAGGTGCTGGTACTCCTGTGGCAATTATAATATGCATCTTAAAATCTGTCTGCACCCTCTGTGGCCACGGCAGCCATGCCCCCTAACCCCCTGCCCCACCTATTAACAGCAATAGGATCACAATGTTTAACAGTAAGTAGCTTTGTATTAGCATTGTGAAAAACCCAGATGGTTGTGTTCACACACACACAGCAAGCTGCAGGACACTGTCACTAACACCCAGGACAATGCAGCACAGAGCCTGTAGCCAAGTGGTTGGTTTATTTTTTAATTTGTTTGGGGTTTTTTTTTGGTTTGGGTTTTTTACACGTCTGAGATCAAACCCAATATCTGTCAGTGTCAGACTCCCTCAGGACCTTCGGGCTTCTGGTGTTTTTTCTGTTATTTCTCTATACAGCAGGATACTTACTTGGATAACAGCTGTATTCACCAGGCATTTCTTCCATCCACCCCCTGCATCCCAAGCGGTTCTAGAGCCTGGAGCTGTTACTGCTTGGTGACCCTGGAGAAATTTAAGGAAGTATAAGGGAAAAAAGCCCCAAACAAACAAAATACCAGTACCCCAATGACTGCAAAGGTCTCTCTCTAACAGAAATGGGATACCTCGATGCTAATAATCTTGAAACCCCTCAGAACTTCAACCAGGTTAAAAAGACTTCAAATGCAAGTATCAATTTATTAAAGTCCAAAGCATATAAACACAATTGCAAAGCATGTGTCTTACCTTGTCTGCAGAAAAGTCTCTCACACTTTCAGCTTTTCAAGTTATTATTTGCAGACTCCTAGCCGAGGCTCCTGTTTTCTACCAGTGCTTTACCTCTGACTTACATTCATACATTCACTTGCATTTGAAGTGTGGGGAAATAGGCTGAGGTTTGCACTTCTACAGGGGAGGTTCCCTGAGGATTCATTGAGTTTCTGAGTTTCATTCTCATTCCCCTATCCTTCTTCATAGAATTATTTGACATTTCTTATTAGACTATTAATTACTCTCACCTCTTTGGAAACATCCATATCTCTGACAGGTAGGGTACAGCCCTCTTGTGCTTGACTAAGCCAACTGTTAACTCCCTGAGTAGTAAAACATTCTTTCTGTATAGAGAGGCACTATGTATCTCTTAACAGAGAGTACTTCAATGCATTAAAAATGCATACAACATACCAAGAGGTCGTCATGGTTTATACAAAAATTTATTCAGATATAGATGGATAAAATACATGTGGCATCATACTGACAATGTGACTGAAATTACATTAAAAAACATCAGCCACAGTGGAGTTGACGGGATCCTAATGAGCTCAGAGACAAGTTTCCCCACGGCTGCCTGATGCCATGCAGAAGGTCAAGGAGGAGGTGGAAATGCTATGTAGAGAAGCGGCAAGCCAGGACCTGAATAAATCTGCCAGAGCAAGCTTTTCTCTCCCCTAGGCGCTGGTCCAAACTGGGCCAGGAGGGTCGAGGCCCTGACTGGTGTCAGTATGTCACATGTAAGTGTCTTTGAGCAGAAATCATAGAATCCCAGACTGGTTTGGGTTGGAAAGGACCTTAAAGCTCATCCAGTTCCAACCCCCTGCCACAGGCAGGGACACCTTCCACTAGACCAGGTTGCTCCAAGCTCCGTCCAACCTGGCCGTGAGCACTTCCAGGGATGGGGCAGCCACAGCTTCTCTGGGCACCCTGTGCCAGGGCCTCAGCACCCTCACAGGGAAGAATTTTTTCCTAGCGTCTAATGTAAATCTCCCTTCTGTCAGTTTAAAACCATTCCTCCTTTTCCTGTTGCTAGCTTTTCTGTAGCAAACAAACTTCTAAAGTTTGAAGTGAGGATGTCCCACATACTACAACTCTGATAACTGAAAGGTTAGCAAAAAGTGATTATATAACCTGGGGCAGCGCCTCACCACCCTCAAAAGGAAGAATTCCTTCCTAATGTCTAATCTAAATCTCACCTCTGTCAGTTTAAAGACTTTTCTTCCCCAGGCTGAACCAGCCCAGCTCTCTCAGCCTGTCTTCATAGCAGAGCTGCTCCAGCCCTCAAAGCATCCCCATGGCCTCCTCTGGACTCGCTCCAACAACTCCATGTCCCTCTTGTGTTGTTACCCCCAGAGCTGGGCATAGGACTGCAGAGGAGGGTGTCTCACCAAAGCGGAACAGAGGGGGAGAATCCTCTCCCTCAACCTGCTAGTCACACTGGTGATGATACAAACCAGCGTATGGTATATTGCACACTGCAATTTTTATCTTAGCATAAAAATTGTTATTCACCCTCCAGGCCCATCCCACTTGGTAAATACATTTTGGATTATATGTCACTAAGTGATATGGTTATGTCCTTATCCTGAATTCCATCATGACAATATGCCAATCTTCATGAGCCCTTCTGAATAGAACATGGCTTCTTTCTAGGTAACTCTTTTCCAAGAAAGTGTTTTCCAAAAACCAAGCATAACCACTGATTAACAATATACTTAGGCTAAATTACATTCCTTCAACCTCAGACTTGAACAAGGTACATCAGAGTGCCCACTAATGGACTTCTGAGTGCGCTACTCTGAAGGCTGAAAATTACATAGCATAACACACTTGGCTTACAAAGCACTGCTGTAGGAGTCAGATGTCAAGGATTTATTGCTTTTGACTTTATACCCCTCAGACAGTTTAGCACAAGGTCTACAAATCCCAAATATGGTTGTGTGAAAGGGAGAGTGTTGCAAGTGCTGGTGGTACAAGTACTCAGGCAGCTGGAGGAGATTACCCAAATGTGTTCCAAGGACCATGAAGCTGTACTTCACTTTGTCCTGACCTTTTCCTGTGGATAGAGGACAAGACACAGGTGTTCCACCCACGGAATAGATATTGGATATTGATCTGACTCCTCTCTGCATGGAAAAAAGTTAGAAGTGGTCCTTTCCATTGTCCCCCACCAGAACTGTTGTCAATCAATGGGAAGAAAGGTACAACCGCTGTATCTTACCCATGTGCACAGTGGAGGGAACTTCACTAAGTGATGTACTTATTAGCAGGGATGAGGCCCTTGATCAAGTCCAGCAATGCCTTTGAGGGCCATACAGTACACTCGTTGCTGTGTCCACAAGCTGGTCAGAAGCAAATAACTGAAAATACTTTTTCTCCTGCCTACTTCCTCAGCACAAGCAGCTAGCTGTAGTATTTTATTGATCATAACGTTGTTTCTATGGAAGCAGATGTGGAGCTAATTAAGATCAAGGGTTAGAGCTGATAAAAATTGGTATTTTCAATGCAGTTCATCTATCATACACATTCAAATTAGTTTTCCCAACAAAATACCTACTGTAGAGAAATGGTGACGGCTGAATCATTTTAACAGAAGTAAATTAAACTCGTTAAGAAGAGCTTAAAGCTGATGCATTTGTTTTCTGTTTATCCTGCTGAAAAGGCTTTCCCTTTGATAAATAAATAAAAACAATTTTTAAATTTTGCAGTTTTTTGACTTAATCACCAAAAGATCTTTGTGATCCAGAGCAATTCTTACAATCTGCTTGGCACTGTTCATTTTTATTAATTCATTCACCCAAGGAACGTGTATTGCACAGCTGCTAGACCATTTGTCTAGGTGAAAGGAACCACGTCTTTGCCTCAGACCTCATTATTCCTGTTAATTCATTCTGCTGCATGTAACAGTGAGCTGACTGCCCTCAGATGCTCCCTGTGAAGTGGTATGCATGTGCCCAATCTCCAGGTAACTGCAGCTCTTAGCTGAAGCTGAATGTGTCCTCCTCACTTTTTACAAAGCAGTACCATGAAGAGACTGCTCCCAAGTGCTGCTTATGGTAACAGGATGTGTGTGTTTTGGTGAAGCTGTCCAAAACCCACAATTAAAATGCTGTTGTTTCTGAATTTCCCTGGTGACACCACATCCCAAAGCTAGTGTGTTTGCTCACCTGTACCTTGTACGTAACCTATTTGAATGGATTCTTAGTGCCTCATGTTTGGAAAGATGAGCCTTCTTTTTAGCTACATCAAAAAGCAGAGGGGAAAAAGGACTCCCTGACCTGTTCACTGTATGCTAGCTACATCTTAATCATCTTGCAGGTCACAAAATATGCCATGTTTACTGAGATGAAACAGGAAAAGGAAAGAGAAATTCATGGAGAATGCAGTACATTACCCTTGACTTGTGTTTGCACATTTCAGCTTCGCAGGGAAGATCCTTTCCAAATGAGCTTGCAATCAATAAAATGAATTAAATTACTGTGATATTCCTGGTCCTTCAAAATGGTATCAAGGCCACAGACAGAGACTGCTGTGTATCAGCTACAGTAGGAGATGTAAGCTAGACCTCAATTCAGTGTTTCATTGCATTTCCCCAGAAGAGCTTTAGGAATGTGTCAGCCTCAGCTGAATATCCCAAAAACGGATGGAACAGCACATGTGTTACTGGGAGGGGATGCTTTGTCTCAGAGCTGGTTTACCCAGTCCCTTTCCTCAGCTCAGTGCCACCTCTTGGTTCCACCTGTGCATCTTGTTTATCTGGCTACCCTGTGAACCTGGAGGATGAACTGACATGATTAAAAATACAGGCAGACACTTTAAGCTGGCTTGGACATAAACAAAAAGGTTCAGCTTAAGAAGGAAGCACAGGAAAGTGTAACACAGGAAGGGTGGGGAGGAAAGAAAGCGCTAATCCATCTTGGCTGTCAGTCTGTATTTCTAACCACTGCCTATCTGTTTATATTGCAGCCATCGCTGTAACATGCCAGTCCTGCAATTTGTTGCATCCTGCTAACGGGTTAAGTACGACAAAACAGTCACTCCTTACTTCCACAGAAATGCATTCACCTCTGGGTTTTTTACCAGAAAGGTTCTACCAGATGCTGACATGCTACACAACTGCTCATAACAATTCCAACACACACACGCGCAGTGTAAGCTGTAACTTACCCAGAAGAAAACACCAGAGGGAATGCAGGCAGCCAGAATGTAATTACCTAAGCTGGAATTTAGCCAGGACAATGTGGTTAAAATCCCTATTTGTTTGGATTAATTTAATTGCTAAATACATTGTTCCACTAGTTGCTGTAGAAATAACCTTTTTGTATTAGCCAGCAGGTTAAATAGCACTTTTACTGCAGTACTTACCGGCTTCTGTTCCTGCCAGTTAGTCACTTCTGCTTTTTATTTGACTTCCAGGTCTCTGCATTATCCCTGTCAGTCTTGGAGCTACATCTCCTAAGGATAGATACAAAAAGCCATGATATTAGGTGACAAAAACTGGGACAGACAACCAGTGATAATTCATCTGGCACATACTACTTCGGTCAAAGAAAGTTAGTAATAAATGTGAAAATACCTTTGTAGTGGCTATATTCTTTTCTTTAATAACATCATAGGGAAAAATGCTCTCAGATCCTTCAGCTGTAGAGACAAAATCAGCTTTTATTACAGTCCCAAAAAGTAAATATCATAGAGTACAAACACAGAATTTCTGTGGTGTACCTAGAGCCATATACCGGCTATCCTCTATATTGTAATTTAACATTGCTGCTCTTCCTGAGAGGACTAATCCTGCCAAACTCCAGGTATTAAGGAGTCCCCCACCCCTTCTTGCCCATCCATGGTAGGGTACATAATGCCACAATGCATAGTATAGGCTCTGCTCAAAGTAGCTCATATAATCCCCAATGAGGTTTTCTGTCCTGCTCCCTCACACACATGCTCCCCAAAATTACTTTGGAAACTAGAGCAAAACAGAGAGAAGTGCCCATGGATTAAAAGGGGAAAAAAAGGCAAGAGTTTGTTCTCTGTCCTTGATGCACAGACCTCTACCACGCTGGGGCAAGCTATACTGACAAGAACAGACCACATAGGCATGGCAGGGAGAAATTTTAAGAGGAGGCTCAGAGCTGAAGATTCACCATTTAGAGGTGTCTGCAATACTGCTGCAGGATAGGGAGGGCAAATAAGGAAAAGACTCCCCTTTGTCTAATATTAAGTATGCATACTGCTGTATAACTAAGATGTTATTGAAAGCCAGCTGCTTCATGCCTTCTCATTTCCAACCCCACACTCATGTGTTATCTTAGAAAGGATTTGCCCATTTCCCTGGGAGAGAAGGACCACAACACCCTCATTAATGCATGTGACCCCATGAGCAAAGCCAAGACTATCATATAGCCTCTGCTACATAAAGATGTCAGAAATGGGAAGCTTTAAGTCCTCTCAGGGCTTGAAGAACATGCTGCCTCACTGAGATGGTAACTAACAGCCTGGAAAGCATGCGCTTTCAGTTGTGAGGAATTCCATTTCTCCCCACTTGAGTTTATTTTGAGCTACAGAGGCAGTAAAAGCCCCTGGCATGGGACTGACTCCTGTACAACTTTGGCACAGCTGGATGTTCCGCACAGTGAGTGGCTCCCTTCCCTTCTACTGGAGGAAAGCAACTGGAGGACAGAAAAGCTGTCAGAAGAGGAGGGTCCTGGAAGCCTTCCAAAAATGGGCTTAATGTGATGGAAGAAGGCTCAAAACTCAGAATTACCCAGTAAAGATAAGCACCCTCCAGACAAGTGTTTCTCTAGGATCTCTAACACAAAGATCCTGAGATTTACAGAAACAGAACTGGAAGAAACTTCTTGAGAATCAACCCTTCGCACATCATCATATCGTATATTCTTTTTCACGAATTTACATGAATTGTCCCTTAAAACTGAGTAACACTTGGGAAAGAAGAGAATCATAAAAAAAAATTATTCCTCTAAAAATCTCAAATTTCTAATGCCTATTCTGAACTTACCTGTGGCTGTAACATCCAGGTGTGTCTCTTTACACATCTGGCGTGCAAAAGAACGAAAAGGAGAGAGAAACACAGATTTTGAAGACTTTCAACTGCCTATGGCGCTTCTGAAGTAGAAGCCAGAAGCATCTGCTCATTAATTCATGCTATAAATGCAGCTTTACAAGATGCCATGAAAACAGACTGAGTGAGAAGCAGAAGCAGGCTGCTTCACAAGAGGGGATGAGTGGGGAACCCAGGAGACCCCAACACACAACAGTACCCTCATCACTCTGGGCCTCATCCCACACTAGGCAGGCTGGTGACTGGCCCTCCAATTGTCCTAGCAACGTGTTGTAGAGTCAGGGCTGGGCTCCGCTGCAGACTGGCCTTAGATGGGGCTCCTGGCCCAAGGGCAGCGGATGGGTGTACCTGAGAGGCAGAAAAATTAAGACATATGATTGTCCTAAGGGTGCTGACACAAAAGCACGTGCCCATCGACTAATCTCCAGCAGACACCAGGCCCACCCCTGCAATATGTGCTGCTAGAAGTGCCACCTCCAGGTGTAGTGCAGTGAGCAGTGTCCTCCATCAAAGCTGTGGACCTCAGCAGCTCCAGGAGAACATGTGCTTTCCAGAAGTCAGGCTCATACGCCCCGTCTGCATGCCACTCCAAAGAAGGGAGGCTTTCACAACAGAACATACAGTTAAAATACTTTTTACCCAGCTCCATGCCTGAGCAACAATGAAGTCCTCTTTTTTGGAAAACTCTCCTGAGGCATCATGTATGGCCATTCTATATGACCCTGCCTTTCTGTAATAAGCAGTACTATTCCTGACTGTCTTTCCTAAGCAACACTTCTCCTTCTGTACCTTCCCTTTCATGCTTCTGGTATAACTCGATAAAGTAGGTTAGGTCATTCTCCTTCTCACACCTTCAGTGCTGGACTTAAGGTCCCACAGCAGTAGCATTAAAAATAATTTCTTTTTATTTCTTTTTCTGTTGTGGTTTGTTATTTTTTTCTTTCCTCCAAGACTGACCCAGCTACAATTGTGGTATCACAGTTTAGCTGCTGGCCATAGGGACCTGCTATCTGAGATGCTTCCCTTTTATCATAGTATCAAGGCATGAGAAAGATGAGAGTGCATAAGGCCACAGATGTTTGTATTCTTCTGACAAGAGCCTCCTTTGTTCCTTGTTTCAACACCGTTCCTTTTTCAATGTATGCAGTGACACACTGAAAAGGGTCTAAGGATATTCTTAAATATAATTTTTATCCCAAGAACATTTAACCACTTTTTGCTAACCTTTCAGTTGTCAGAGTTGTAGGATGTGGGACATCCTCACTTCAAACTTTAGAAGTTTGTTTGCTACAGAAAAGCTAGCGATAGGAAAAGGAGGAATGGTTTTAAACTGACAGAAGGGAGATTTACATTAGATACTAGGAAAAAACTCTTCCCTATTGAGGGTGGTGAGGCGCTGGCACAGGGTGCCCAGAGAAGCTGGGGCTGCCCCATCCCTGGCAGTGTTCAAGGCCAGGTTGGACAGGGCTTGGAGCAACCTGGTCTAGAGGAAGGTGTCCCTCCCCTTGGCAAGGGATTGGAACTGGATGAGCTTTAAGGTCCAAACCAAACCATTCTATGATTCTATGACTCTATAGAAGGATTATTTTATAGCAAATACTTTCACTACTTTAATAGACATTTTCTTTCAGAACTAAAAGCTCCATATTACATGTAGCGAATTTAAAATGTTCAATGAAATTAGATTTCAGGTCAATATATATTTGAAAAATTGAAGTACAATATGATCTGCAGGGAATACTTTGAGGGAGGATTGTGTGACATTTCAGAGAGCATAACTTTTTTCCAAAGCTTAACCTGAGAACAAGCAAACAAGAAACACTGACACCGTAGCCAATTTCCACAGGAGAAAAAAAGCTAAGATATAACATCCCATTTTATGAGATAAAGCTTTCTTTCAACCAGTCCTCTCTAACAAAACATTATCTACCGTACAGTAGTGTTCACATCATATTCCCACTACATTAAGGATAAAACCCTACAGCCATGCAAACAACCTCCCTTGTTTAGAGTTCTAAAGCACCATTTCCACAGAAGCTGGACCTCTCATCTGGGGGACATTCCTTGTGCCGCTGAATCTTTCAAGGCTCTGCCTTTGATGGATACCAGCATCAGCTTTGTTCCCTGTCTCTATCAGCTGCTTCTAATGAAGGTTTGCCACTATCTGACAAAGAATTTTTCTAAGATGCCTTTCATGACCCCATAGACAATTATTCTATGCTGCCAGTTTACAAACACATTGAATTGTTGGGAAAACGAGTGCCACCAACACATATAATGAAGCATGGTCTCTGTCTCTGATTAATACATTCCCTGAGTCTGTGCTTGGTGCTTGAATATACTGAGTTTGGCCAGAGGAAGCCTAACAAGAGGAAGGAGACACCAAACCACAGTTTATCATCCTGAGTTTCTGTGTATTTGCAGGCCAGCTCTGTAGCTAAACTGCACGTGGTTTGCATTTAATTTCCTCAGGGATTCAAGCAGTAATTAGAATAAATTATAATTAACAACTGACCAAGAACTCTTCATGCACCTTAAAAACCACAGAAATAGCTGATAACGTTGAAAATAAACCAAATTATATGCTTATTCATCAAGACCAGTAGCCAGCAACATAAAAGAATAAAATAAAAGAAAATAAAATAAAATAAAATAAAATAAAATAAAATAAAATAAAATAAAATAAAATAAAATAACTTCTTAGAAGCTATTGATATGAGGTACCTTGAGCTCTGCTACCAAAAATTCATCCCAGGTTTCTAGTGTCTCCAAGTTAGCGCTCCTCCATGTCCTCTGGCTGTCCACAGTCCCTCCTGAAGAGGTGCATTATCTCTCCTCCTCCAGCAGCAAAGCAGGATTTGTTAGGTCTTTGCAGGCAGGGGGATATCTACTTCACCAAGTAGGGTGAGGTTATCCCTCTGGATTTAACAGGGAATTTAACAAAGCTGGGAAGCTGTACCTGTAGGCTTGGCAAAGCCACCTAAACTAAGCCCAGTGTAGCCACGGGTTTCATTAGCTCCCCATCACCCAAAGGAGGCCTTTTCCCTAGGGTTCTCAAGAGCACCAAGCTTGCCTCTCCCAGCAAGCTTTCCACCTTCAGTTTACTGGGTGTGCTGGCAGCACAGAGCTACACATGTGTAGGCCACTTGCTCTTCATATGACAGAAAACTACAGGGTGGGAGATCTGTGTGTTTGGTGCTTTAAATACCGCCTGTTTCAAGAGACCACAGCTGTATTTCCTTGAGGACTTTTCTCTATTTGTTCATGCTAAGGCCCTTAAGCTTTAGATTAAGCACTTAAGCCTATAATAGAAGAGACACAAAGAAAACAGTAAACTGTTAATTTAGATAATGGTGAGGAAGAAAAACCCCACAGATTGCATGCCATTTTAATCCCTCCCCCTCATGTCCAAAGCTAAGCCTCTGTAGGCTTCTACATTCAAGATTCCTCAATGAAGCACAAACTCTACACAACACAGGCCTCCAGCTATAGCATCTAAATCCTGAAAAGCAATGGAGAATAGAATGTGAGGATGAGATTGTTTTTTTTTCTCTTCACCATGCAAAAACCTAAAAGGATGGCCCAGAGCTCTCAACACTAACAACTTACGTGATATAGTTACAAACTACACTGCAGCACAGCATAAAACAGACTGGAGTAAGTCCATTTGCCACCAGATCTCCAAAATGAAATTCAACTCACCCATCCAGAACTAGGGAGGTGACTTGGCAACCTGGATAACTCTAGGATCAAGTGATTTTCAACAACAGGAACAAGGAAGCCCCTGGGGAATTTGGAGCTTGTCTCCTCCCTGACAGAGGACATGCATCAAGGCAATTCCAGTAGAGCCAGGCTGTCACTCCACTATAAGCCTGATACTGAAGGGGCATCGGTGGTGCCTTCATGACTAACATTTCCTGTAGAATTATCAAACTGATGTATCCACCATGCCACCGCTGATCACGTTCACCTATACTGAAGTCCCTGCCTCTGGAAACAGCCAGTCAGCAGTGCTTGAAAACCTGCCTCACCTTTAGGTCACTGCTGTGGTAGCTAGTACAGACACGCTCTCTGGGCACAGCTGGGGACTTCTGAGGAAAGAACTAGGGCACAGGTGTCTTGCTGGTGTGACTGGGAAACAACCTCTTGATGTTACTGCAAACACAGTGGAACATAGGCACTGCCAGGGCTGTGATGCCAACACGCTGTTAGGTGTTTAGGATGGATCAGTTTAATTTCATAGGATCACAGACTAGTTTGGGTTTGAAGGGACCCTAAAGCTCATCCAGTTACAGCCCCCTGCCATGGGTAGGGACATCTTCCACTAGACCAGGTTGCTCGAAGCCCCCTCTAACCTGGCCTTGAACACTGCCAGGGATGGGGCAGCCACAGCTTCTCTGGGCACCCTGTGCCAGGGTCTCACCAGCCTCATAGTGAAGACTTTTTTTCCTAGCATCTACCCTTTTTCAGGTTAAAGCCATTTCCCCCTTGTCCTGTCCCTACAGGCCCTTGTCAAAAGCCCCTCTCCGGATTTCTTGTAGGTCCCCTAGAGGCACTGGAAGCTGCTCTAAGGTCTCCCTGGAGCCTTCTCTTCTCCAGTCTGAACAAGCCCAGATCTCTCAGCCTGTCTCCAGAGCAGAGCTGCTCCAGTCCTTGCAGCATCTCCATGGCCTCCTCTGGACTCACTCCAACACCTCCACATCCCTCTTGTGTTATTGTCCCCAGAGCTGGGCACAGGACTGCAGAGGGGCTCTCACCAAAGCACAGTAGATGGAGAAAATCCCCTCCCTTGACCTGGTGGTCACGCTCTGGGGATGCAGCCCTGGACATGGTTGGTTTCTGGGCTCAAGCGCACACTGCCAGGTCATGGGGAGCTTCTTGTCACTCAACACCCCAAGTCCTTCTCCTCAGGGCTGCTCTCAATCCAGTCTCTTCCCAGCCTGTACTTGCACTAGGAATTGCCCTGACCCCGGTATGAATGGGGCTGCATGCCTTGGCCATGGAGCTCTTCCAAGCAATGGCAACTCACAAATATAAGGAGTTCATGACTTGTACATGTGGGCAGCCCTTGGGCACACACCTGCAGGTGATATTACATGCCAGCCATCCAGACATTTACTACATGCATCTTCCAAAAGGAGCAACTCCCTCTCATGGCTCACCCAGCAGCACCCTTGCTGCAGCACTTACTCCAATTCACACATGTTGCAAGCACACGCCAAAATCAGCTTTTAATGAGTGAGGCCCCCAGCATGTGTAAAAAAGTGCAGGATGAAGAGTCATTGCTGCCTCACAGAGATGAGCTTCCCTGAATTGCACCCTTTGTAAAGGCGTGGCCTTGCATTTTTACATATATTACATTGCAATTTGACAGTTGCATTAAATCCTTTTGCTCTTATTTTACTTGGAGAGAAGCAAAATGCACACAATTTGCCTTTGCTGTAAGACTAATTATTTAGTGTAGGAATAGCATGGTCTTGTGTCTCTGCATTAAGCAATATTAATCTTCTCTGCCTGTCTTTGTATGGAAGTCTTTTCCATACCTTTAATAGTTTTTAGCTCTCTAGACACCTCCATTTCTGCTTTATATGCTTCAGATAAGGAAAAAAAGGTTTATAATCTGTACTTATATAGTATACAGAAAGGCAGGAGAGTTAAAAAAAAAGCAGCTGATAGGGAGGGACTACTGAAACATCACCTACTTAAAGCAATGCTATACATAGCCCGTGAAGGCTTATAAAATAATGAGACTTACAGCAATGACACAAAGCGGGTATTACACACTAAATAGAGAGGTATTGCAGCAGCCTGTCCAAGAAGAAAATTTAGTAGTTATTTCAGAAACACTCTTGAATCATTCAACCCGAGATGCTGCTACATTAACAAAGGAAGCAAATAGGATGCTAGAGGCATACAATGTACATCAAAAGGCTGATGGTTAAATTACTAAACAAAGCGTTCCATGTAGACCAAAAATAGACTTTTCTATCCTTGCAATAAGTTGCAGATAGCAAGTAATTACCTGCAGGTTACTACCTTTATTCCTTCCTATTATGCTATTCCTTTTCTTCCCCATAACAATATCTGTCCAGCAAACACATTAGTCACAGCAATCCCTGTCTGCATTCCTAGTAATCTCAAGCCATTCGGACAACACTGAGTTTATTTCTAAGCTGTTCATTGCATGGAACTACAGAGTGAATGAAGCAGGGGCCCATTTTTTCTCCCTTTTGAATGTCTTGATTAAGCAGGTCACTGATGTACTTTAAGTCAATAACCACAAACCTATCCTGATAAGGGTGTAGCTGAGAGTCTCTTCTGCACTGCTGCAAGCAGCCATGGCTTACTTTGCTCCAAAAATGCCTTGGAAACAAGCCCAGGTTGTTCCTCTGCTGAGAAAGAAATATGTCTTGCTTTGTTCAAGGGAACAATAAACAATACAAAGGGGTGGATGAGAATAAACACCTCAAATTGAACTGAATATAAAGCAAAGTGAGATAGTGGAGATCACTTTTAAACGCTGCCAGGGTTCAAGAAAATGAAGTCCATTTAAAGGGAGATTTTTCCTCTCAGTTAAATTGCTCTAGATCAAAAGCCAGTGTAAGAGATTGCTATGTATATGACAGATGTAATTGGAAAAAATATGCAGCCTAAGTATTTCCAACCCTGAATGTTAAAAGGGCAAAAATCTGATCTAAAAACAAAATCATCAGGTCTGTCTAAAAGCAGCCCTTCTGTTTAAAAAAAATCCATACATCTGAATTCTTGTTCACCTCACTTCTGACAATTTAGGAAGTAATCATATTTTCATTGCTTTCTCCACCAGTACAGAAAAGCAAGCATATAAATATACATGTTTGTGTGCATATATGTTGAGAAAAATAGCTTTAAAATCACCTGACTCCAGAAGCTGAAGCGCAGGGAAAATACTGATGTTGCAGGGCTTACAATGAGAAGCGCAAGTTTTCAGCACAGCAGTTAATTTGTTCTGAGTAGGCTTTCAGTTACATAGCAGGAGTCCTGCACGAGTAGGTTAAGTTTTGCAGTACTTATTCAATGCCTATGCAGCTGGTTCTTAGTATAGGATAAAGCAAAAACTGACAGCGGTGCCTTAACGCAGATCCAGTTTTAACTTATTACACTTACTCTCCACCTCAGTAGCAATACTTGTTATTACACCACAAGAACAGAAGCAGACCTAACATCCAGAAAAGGTGGAAAAAAGATAAAAAACCTGAGTAAAATTCCTTTGTGGAATGTGGCACATGAGATTCACATGAGATGGCAAGACATTTACTTCCCTGTCTTTCATGAGAAGATTTTACTCAACTACCTGGAATACTGAAGACTATGATAAAAGCTGATGCTGACTGGGAAAGAAAAGCACCTAGAACCAACAGCTGCCATTTGAGGGTTTTAAAACTCCTTTTTGCACCTCTTCCTGACATCCCCCAAGGAAGCATTTTGCCCTTTATGCTCCTTGTGTGCTTCCAAACCTGCTTAAGTAAGGAGTCTTTCTCTTTTGTATCTCTCAAACAACAAGCTGATGAGCCATCAGATGGAAGAGCAACAGCTATTTGGTGGATTTATGAGGCACACTCAGGAATTACATGGTGCCTAAGAAAAAAAATTGAAAGGAAAAATTATATAGATATTTGCACTGGAGCTTAACAGCCTCCTCAGGGTCCCTTGAGAATAAATCCAGATATTGGTCTACCACCAAGGTAGTAAAAGGAAAGAAGCTGAGAGCAGGGAGAAAGCTCACTTTTGTAAAACATAAAAGATTAGGATGAATTTTCATTCCAAATAGAGAATGCCCGTACTATTACAGAAAAAAAGATGAGAGTATTTATAAATGTAGCAATATACTTCCTAAGTGCAAATTGAATAGGTATATTTAGCCTTCTGCAGGGATTCATGAAATTAGGCTCAAAAAAGAAGAAAACTGTCATGTGAGCGCTGTTATTTTGTCTAATAAATGAACAGTGAAACAAGCGCATTTCTACAACAAAAAGTACATCTCCTACAGCATACTGATGAACAGACACTCAGCTATCCTGGGGGAAAAAGAAAACCAAAAACTTTTCCTCCTTTGTTCTATGATTTCTCTTCTTGGCTAGAAGAGACAGCAACTGCGTCACCCCAAGGTGAGGAGGCAAGAAGAGCACTTCTGCTCCCTCTGAATGCTGTCACTATTGTGATTGCTTCTGCAAGGACTATGGAGCCCACTAACACTGCTTTGGTCACTGGGAGACAATGCATGCATTAAGGTTTGCCAGCCAGAATGGATTTTGAACACTGCTTTCCCCCCAAGTCAACAGCCCTGCTTTTTCTGCACCAGAGGTGGCTGACCAGCTCTGGAGGCATGTTTCTATCTGAACTGCAGAGCAAGCTCACTACCAGATTTGTGGGGTTGCACCAGCACAGCTGACATTTGAATTTGCCTGTTGAACACTGGCTAGGTTGGCCAGGAAAAGACATGAAAAGCAGAGTGGTGCCTTTCCTCATCTCTGTGTTAAATCTTGTTGGTGCTGCAGAAGTGAGGCTGGTCAACATGGCCTACAGAAAAGTCCAATGCAAAACCAGTTTCATTAGGGTTAAGCTTCTAACCAGCTGCTGACTGCTGAAGGGAAAAACCTGAAGACAATACTGTAGTTTTCTCAAAAACCACTAAGAAGTCCTAGGAATTGAAAGTTCAGATTAGATTAAAAAAACCCAAAACAACAACAAAACAAGGAACAAAAAAAAACCAAACCAGAATACAACACCACAGCTACTTGCATAGAAATATCTATTTAAAGTCACTCAAGCAACCTCAGTCTTGTCCTCTCCTCTGTGTGATATTTACGTCTTTGCAGCATCTGTGTCTCGTGCAGACGAGACGCATTTTGACAGAAGAGTTTTCACCGAAACCTAAAGCCGTTCACAAGCTGTAATGAGAGGAAACTTAAGCTCCCCCCTTGGATTAGTTTACCCAAGGAGGTAAGAAATTCTAGTGCACACAGCAATGCAAGTACACAGAAACAGATTAACAAATGTTAAGACCAGAAGACTATAATAAGCATGAAGTCTGACCTCCTGCATAACATAGCATGGAGAATTTAATGTGTAATCTTGGTTTCAAGCTCTGCTTGAGCAGAAACTGAACTTTCTGAAAGATGCTCGCTTTTGATACAAATGTTTCAAATGACAGAAGCTCTTCCATACCCCCAGCTCTGCCCTGTGACAGTTTTGTGACGTATGTGCTTATAAATGGGAATCTAATTTGCAATGAAACACCTCATCTCCTTCGGTGCTGTGCTCCCTTCTTTGCAAACTGTAGTAGTACTTCATGCTTTGTTTTGTCCTCAAGAAGTATTTTGCCCAGACTCATCAGCTGAATACTTCTATCTTCATCTAAATGCTTAAAATGGAAGGTTTTCTTCACAGGTTTTCTTTTCAGACTATCTCCAAATCATTTTGACTTCCCTGATTCCCTTAGGTTTCCTAGATGAGATTCTAGTTGAAGGAAAAAAAAACAATCAGCACCAACAAAAAACTCCCCAGGCCTGCTCAAATTGAACAAGTGACCTTTGTAGCCTTTAAGCAATCTGAAAAAAACATACCCCTCCCTTAAGTCCAAGGTTGCAACCTTACGCTTTTACTGGGAGTCTCTTACTGCTTGATGCTTTTAATTAAAGCCTCAACTCCCAGAATCAAAGGACAACAAAAATCTCAGCCTCTGGGAGAGTTCTAGCCCTCGTGGTAAGCCATAAAACTTGAACATATGACCCAAACACCACAAAATACAGCCTCAGACCTAAAATTGTTTCATGATTTCAGACAGCTAAATCACATATTTGAATGCACAGGACTAGAAGCAATCCATTACTAACTGGAAGAGAGTAAATCTCCAGCTGGAGACTTAACCATCATTTCCTGGAACACAGTGGCAGGAGCGTCCCAGCAAACCCTGCAACTTGGCCCTCAGCAGCCAAGTTCTGAAGCAGAAATTCTTCTTGTCTTCACCTGCTAAAAGAGAAGAAACACTAAAGGAGAAGCTAGAGATAATCTCTGGGTTTATGTGGAATGCATTTCAAGAGACCAGCCTAAGTCCTCTCCGGTTCCAACAATCTCACTGTCTAAAAGCAAGAATTTCCTCAAGGAGAAGAAAACCCAACGAAGAAAACTCTGTAGACAACACGAACTTAAAATGAAATGCCTAGCTTTATCCTTGTGAGAGTCACCACCTATAGAAGATGGAAGCTATTCTCAAATAACAAAGCAACTGAACAGCTCCTCTCAAAGGGCCTCCTAGCCCGGAAACAAGGTAGGCACATTTGAAACTAAGCAGGTATTCCTGGGTATGTTTTTCCCAGTTCAGGACTATCAGCTGCAGCTCAGAGCTGAGCCTGTTGAAGCAGCCAAGGCACTATGGTCACTAAGAAAAGGATTCTGACTGAAAGCGTTATCAGGTAAACAGATAGCTCTCACATTGGGTCCATGGCAGAGCTTGGAACAAGCTTCAGCTAAGTTGCCAACTAATGCCTTGTTATCCTCAGCAAAGGGAGATACAAGCCAATTCACTGGGGATTTTCCATTCAAATGCTGCCTGAAACCATTTACACAGCAACAAATAATTGAAAGCACCCAAACAAACCTTTCCTCCATCCCTCTACTTCACGTACACAAAGCAAATTCTTATTCCTAGTAGAAACACAAAGCCCTGCGAGGCATGAGGGGACTGAGAGACAACTGCTGAGCAGCTGGGCAAGTAAGAGTTTTCACTACTTACCAATTTCATGTAAGCTCCCCATAACAACACTATTAGGTTTATATTATGTATCAGTAAAAACACTAATTACAGAAGCCCAGACTTGAAACGGTTTCTCAGAACAACATGCCTATAGCTAGCACGTGGAACGAGCGTGCTTTACAGGGATACACATTCCCTACTAAACAGAAACGAACATGCACAGTTATTATCATTTAGAAAAGACAAAAGCTGCCAAAGCCAAGGCAATGCCATCCGTGCTCAGAAGAGAGGCCTTTATTGTTTGCTACTAATTGCAAGGAAAAAGAATTCACAGACATTTCAAAGCAGCTGCTGTCTTGTCCTTAAAAACAACTTCCACTTTGAAAGGAGGATTTTCATGTTAACAGCCTTCCAAAGCTTTTATGGCTTGCTACTACCCAAGGCCATTCAAATGTGTTATTTCTGTATTGATTATGTTACGAGGTTCAGCAAAAAGGTCTAAAAGCCAAGAGAAAAGTCTGTTGAGAAATTACTATTTAAGTCTCAGCAATTTCTGGCAAATCAAGGATTACTCCCCCCCCACACTCCACCACACACTGGCTTTGTTAATTTTACTGGTTAAAATGTATATGGACTCAATAGCTCAGAAGACTGCAACTTGGTCCTTTGAAGCAAGAGGTTCCAGCTGCTGTAGATCATCGGTGGGGTGAAGCTGATTTACATTATCTGAGAATCCGGCCTGCTGTGGTTAAATACTCCCCATCTGGTTTAATCAATTCTCCTTCTGGAAAGCCTGAGGGATCATCATTTCAAGCTGTATTTGTCTCCAAGTCCTTTTCAGTGTTGATATTGCACATACAGCCAAGAATACCTTACCCACTGCTAGGGTGGGCGCTGTCTCAGTGATGGGTGAACTTGCTAAACAAGGCTCAGGGTGCCCACTTGTTTTGCAACATCCTGCAGTATTTCGTATTTCAGACGTTTCTCCAGCTAACGTCTTTCTTTTGAGGTGTCGATCCTGCTTTTATCAGCCAGGAAAACTGGCAGCCATTACTGTGTGCCTGGCTGTTAGGAGCTGGCATTGCTGTATTTGTACCATTAGATGAGAAAAACAACAGAAGCATCTACGTGCTTTTGTGGAAAGATTTCACTTGAATACGTTTTTCATTTTCTCTTGTGGGGCATAGAGTCTGTTTTATTGTCCCTAGCTCTCAAATTAATATTTGGCCATAAGTTTAAACATCAAGAGAAGCTTTGCTTGGGCAAGGAGTGAGTAAAGCTAAGGCCTCATCTAAATCAGCTGAAGGGAAAGACAGATCCAAAGATAGATCAAGACTTGGGAGACTGCATTCAGCTCTTTGCTCTGTCACACACTCTGCTTGGGTACCTAAGTGAGCTACTGAAGGTCAAATTCAAAGTGGAATGTAGGCAACTACAGAGGGAAGGAGGCAGAACTGCAATCTGGAAAAAGCTTACACACAGGCACTTCAAGCTCCTTGTTCTCAAACTTGGACAGGCATCAAAATAACAGTCATTAAAGGACGCAACTTGGGACAGCCAGGTCCTGCACTTGCCTAAGGGGATTCACATGTCTGCCATCTCACAGGAGAGCTGGAAATGTCTCTGTCAAGAGGGACTGAAGAGGGGAATCCTCACAGCTATGTTATAGCTGCATCATTGTGCAAAAAATATTTTGGAAATCCTGTGTAAGGAGACTATATCCATACTACTGTAGTTAGCATATCCATCAGGATGCATCAAAGCGGGTCCTGCTTTACACCCAGAAAGCATTTATATTCCCCAGATACCATCCCCAGGCAGCACACTGCAGAGCTAAACTCCCTCCTACTGCTTGCCTTGCTCTCACATTATTTCTGATGCAAGGAACAGCTCCAGTGTGGGAAGGAAGGGAAAGGGAGATTAAACTTGGATCTTCCTGAAAAGCAGGCCACTAAAGCACTGTGAAAAGGGAGAGGTGGCCTCCTCTTCCTTTGGTATTTTAAGAGAGATGAGGGATCCCTACTAAAAGTGGGAACAGGGATACCCATCTAGAGGAGAGTATGGCCCGTGATCCAAAGCCAAAACTCTTCAGAAACCTGACTGAAGTAGCCGAGGTGTAAAGTCTAACACCTATCCTTGCTTATAGCATTTCTTAGCTGGACAGCTCAAATCAGAGACACCCAGGAGTACTGACTTAAGGCAACTTCTCTCTTAATAAACTGGCTACTTTAGTTCCCACTTAGAGGGGATGAGCCTGTCCTATGTATGTAGGCTCCTCTAAACGGAGACTAGGTGTCTGTGTTCTGAATCCCATATGGGCACCAGATGACTGCAAGATAGGTGCTGCAGTACTGTAATTCTTTATTAGATTTGGCCTTTAGTGTTTCAGCTCTCCATCTGCAAAATCAGGATAAAAGCACTTCCCTGTTTTGTAGCTGATTTTCATATGCATTTGTAATTACTACAGGAAGATATTCAACACTGCACCACTTTCTCAGAGCAGTTACCAACTCAGTTAAGCAGGAACAAAGCACAGTATGGATGCTTTCAATCTGAATTTATAAACTTGACACCTAACTTTTGGCGTAATTCTGTAAGGAATTGGTTAGAACTTAAATGACATTTCCATTTTACCTCTAGGCACATAACTACATTTCTCATAGCAATGGCTAGGTAAATGTGCAGGCAGCCTTGCACTGCCAGCCACACAGCTCACAGCTTCACTGTTACTAGTGCCCAAGAGAGCCATCTTATGGGAATTTAGGTGTGATTAACCCTACTGGATACCAATTAGCTCTTCCAACCATGTGATCTACCAGAGACCATCAGTGACTTTGATTTTCTTGAAACACCACGCTGTGGTGGCTCAGTAGTTATTAGTCAGGTGTTCAGATGTCTCTCTGTCCACGGGGATAAAACTACATATAGTAATCTTATAATCTGTCCTAGAGCTGTCACCTCTGTTCATCCAGCTGAGCACACACAGCGTGTGACAGATGCGGATCAGACACCTGAAATGGTTCCTGCTCTCACCTCTCCCTCACAATGTGAAGGTTACTCCTGCATAGCAGGGATAGCCACATAGGATCCTGGTCCTCTTAAGCCACCCCCATTAAACTTGGACCACAGAGCTGCTGTCTGGGCAGGAGCTCCAGAGCACTCTGCGATTGGCTTTCAGTCAGATGTTAGGCACCCAGTCAGCTTTAACCAGTTTCGAAACCACACAGCCACAAGCCTGGGTTTGAAACCATGGACATCCTCACATACATTAGTCTGGGCAGTGAAACTGTCTTGTACTGGGCAGCCACAGTTAACACGCAGTTGCCTGCAACAGATCATACATAAGAGCCCTGAGGTACCTAAGCTACCTCAGCTGCTTTTGAAAGTGGAACTGGTGTTCCTAGTCTTGAAGGAAATTAAAATATTGCCCTCTGAGTTTATTGAGAATCTGTGGGATCTGCGAGCCTTTCTATTGTTTCAAGCTCTCCCCTGACACATACAAGAGCAGGTGTAAAAAGTAATAATACTTTCAACCACCTAGCAATTCAGTTAATGTCCTTGCTGTTCTGACTCAGCAGCAACGTCTCAGGAAAGAGAAGCTCCTTCCTTTCCCCTTTGACTCAGAGCGCTGTGGTGGTCAGGCTGTGATTGTAGCGTGACTCCCTCCCCATGCATGTCACCTTAACTGGCAGTATAATATAATGCATCAGACTCTGAGCTGCACCAGCTAAGGTTCAGGCCCCTCTTTTATTCAGCCACTGGAGCTGCAAGGATGAGAAGTCTCATGGACAGAGGGAGCACATGGCAGGAGGCTTTAATGGCTTAAACTACCTCTGTGAGATTCACCAGAACTCCTTCTGTCAGCGGGCCCTGTGTGCTGCAAATGATATTTCACGAAAAGCTGAGCAAGCCTCATTAACATCTGCCTGAGAAAATGACAATTTTGGGTAGTCCTCCACTCAGCCAGCTTCTCCCACCAGCCCAAGCTCTGTTCATCCCACTGGATGCTTATGCCACAGGACAGTTTGTTCCTTGTGAACGCAAGGCAAACCCCACCTGGCAGACTGATAAATCATGGATGATTGGTAGTTGCTACATATACATTGGTTCTGATTGACTATACAGAGATATTTTGAGGGTCTGCAATGAGTTATTTAGACACTAAGCCTGCATGTGCAAACAGCAAGACTTTATTCTATAGGAACATGTAATGAATTAGGTGATAACTATGACTGGATAAAATAGTTAAAAAGAAAGGGGGGGGGGGGGAATGTTGTAAGTGTAAAATTCTTTTCCTTCTGCCTTTTTTTTGTTTCCTTTCCTTGTTCTCACTTCAGAAAGGAGAGACAGTTTTTACAGCTGGAAGACAGACTTCAGCACATTAACAGCCACAGTGAAGGTCAGCAAGTCTGACTCGCTCAAGTAACGGCCGAGTATGTTTGATCTCATTTCGTTTTATTACAATGCCAGAAGCAGTGCTGATCAACAGTGTCATATTTCCTTCAGCATAAAAGATAAAGCGTTCTATGAGACAGCAGTGGGGGAAGTAAACTAGGAGAGGAGCAATATACCTAGCAATGCACTCACTACACCTGTACCTGTGTTCTGTCCTTCCTCAGTTCTTCCTCTTTTAGTGCTGACAATGGGGGGCTCCAGATAACTCCTTTGGGGTTTTGCAGTGTTGCCCCAAGCTATTTTAGGGTCGGTTTAGACTCAGAAAATGCAGATACCTGCATCATGAGTGCTTTCTGCATGGGAATACTGGGAAAGTGGTACTCAATGTTTCTGACCTTAGCACACCTGCATGAGGGCTCTACCATTCACCAAAAATGATGCCATTGTCTTGCCTGTCCGATTTTATTCAATACAGTGTTTGACATGTCACTCAGTGACTGACTCTCCAGGGATAAAGTGAGAGGAATTCTCCCTCCTAGAGATCACAGTGGCTTTCTGAATCTTCCAGGTTAAAATAAGGCAGGGGAGTCCACATGTGAGAGAGGCCAAACGAGCTGGGATGGTGACTAGGGGGGTAAATGCCACTAATGTTTGAGTGGCTCTGAGCCCCTTAAAATCTGAGTACCTTGCAGTATTTCTGTGATGCAGAGGACTAGTATCCACATTTACCACCATGGAAGCAGGAGTGAAATCAGTGGACGAGGAGACTAAGAGGAAGCCTGCATTGTAGAAAGAGTTGAAAAATATTTCTGCAATGTGAGGTTAATTCATTTATTCACTGGGCCCCTTTTCCTCACTGATTCTGTAACCATCTTCTTAAAGACTTTCAATTTTTCATTTCTATACTGTAATCCTTCTCCTGAGATAAATAAATACTGTATGGTCCCTGTTGCTGGGGCACACACATTTTACCTACAGATGACTGAGCAAAAGGTAAAGAGCTCAGCCTGTGTCAATTATTGGCTTTTTTCTTACTGAGGACAAACAAAAAGCTGCGATGATCCCTGGAGAAGAGCAATTATTGTTGACAAAATCTGGATGGGCCTCAAAGCGTAGTACACTAACTTTCCTCTGTACGCTCTTTAACATTTCCTAGCATCGATTTCCTGCATGTTAACAAGACTATTAGAAACATAATAGGGATGCTGCTAATAACCCTACACTGTTGTTTGTTCAAAAGTAATCAGACAGAAGTAAACCTGCCCCTGAACACCAATGCAGAGCTCACAAGCTGTTCCTAAGAGGAGCAGGCACTGCTTCTGCCCAAAATGAGCTCTTTCCCCCTGCTGCTGCAAGAGGGTGCATGTCAAGCAAAACAAGTAGCTGTAGACAAGCTCTATTTCTTCCCTTTAACTTATAGAAGAAGCAGATTTGTATGTACCCTGGTCAGTTGTGTCCTCCTGGTGCATGCTCACCTTTAAAGCTACAGCAGAGTGCAAAAAGCAAAGGGTTGGATTCCCTACTGGTATAAATCAGGCTATTGCTACAGCCACAGGTACTTGGTTTTGACCAAATGCTCAACTTGCCTGTGACTCGTAAGAGGTGGTATGTGCTTTCCAGTGCCACTTCTTGGAGCTTTGTTCTCCAAGTTGTGATCCACAGTTTTTCACCTCCTGTTTTATCAAAGGCCCTAGAACAGTTCCTCAGGGGGTATCGACATGGTGCAATGAAGTGTTGTGCAAGGATAACAGAGTTATCCCTGGACTAATGGAGTTATTAGCTACATCAAAAAGCTGCTCTGCCAGGGTGGTTGTGCTGACGGCAGAGCAGGGTTTACAGGCCCAGCTGGTGTGCTATGGCAGTACAGTCCAGCTTGTGCAGAGGTAGCTCTTGTCTCCCTGTGCTGCACTGCTATGTCCCAGCAAAGCCCCTTTAGCTGCTAAATCCCTTCAGGCTGTCGTGGCCTTTCACCTGATTGCCCTTTCTTTGTTTTTCCAGAAGAGTGTGGGTCTGTCACAGGACAGACAGATATCATAGTATCATAGAATGGTTTGGGTCAGAAGAGACCTTAAAGCTCATCCAGTTCCAACCCCCTGCCAAAGGCAGGGACACCTTCCACTACAGCAGGTTACTTCAAGCCCCGTCGAACCTGGCTTTGAAAATTGCCAGGGCCTCAGCACCCTCATAGTAAAGAACTTCTGACTCATGTCTCATCTAAATCTCCTCCTTGTCAGGGAAATCTCTGCCTGGTAGCAGAGAGGCAACTAGAATTCAGGGCACAGAGGGCATTTAAAATAATGCTAGACACTTGTGTTCAAACACCTACCTGCTTGCCCAGGGATGGGGAGTTTTCAGATGTCAGTGTCCTCAAGATACTTTAAGTGATGGGAATCCAAACTTCAAATTCTGTCTGCCTTAGCCAATTTGCTTGACAGTGTTACAGCAAAAGATCATAACTTGAAAGAAAGAAAGCCAAACACCATTCCTCAATATCCCTGCCTTATCTATGAGGAGACTTGAGGGAAGGAAGGGAAGACACTATTTAACCCATTTGTAAGTGAGCCTTGTCAAAGCTGCAGATAACCAGCAAAGAGGCCAGCACAGGGAGGACTGCACATGTTCCTACAAGCGAGAGGAAATTCTTACTCAGAGAGAGCATCCTCTGAGAAGTGAGACCTTTTGCCTCTCAGAGACCACTGTAACAGTTGCTGCCTTTATTGCAGGAGTCAGCTGGAGGCCTGGTTTGGCAAGTTTGTTCATCAGGAAGAGCAGCAAGGCCCAGCTGTTTGTGTATCACAAAACCCTGCGCCATAATTAGCACTTTCAAGTTATTACTCACCTGGGTAGGAATTATAATGTGGTTTTAAAAATGAGTATTTTTGTGCAAAATACCAAATCCTGAAGGCTTCAACTCACCTTTCCTTCATCTGCAAAGAGCTGGGCTGGGGAACATGCACGCCAAAGCAGCTGTAACTGTGGGAAAGAGAGGTTTTACATCACCAGTGGGAATTATCCTGTCGTATCACCTCCTTCACAATGCAATTTTGCTTTTTTTGTAGGAGCCGGAAACACTAATTATACGTATAGGCTGAGATTTGCCACTGCTAAAATGCAAACTGCCATTTTGTCACAAAATGCAGTATTTCTGAATTGGTGCATTTTGAAGCCCCAAAGGAGCCCTAGAGGAGCACTTCTAAGTATTCTTTTAGTTTTAGATGGTTTGCATTTTTCCCCCAGACTAGTCAGACAGATCTAATACATTTTGGATGTAGTGATTTGTTGCTGGTTTTTGTCAAATGACCGAAACACACACAAACGCCTTTCAAATTTCTTATCAACTTCTATTAAGCTATTCCCAAACCAAAGAATAGCTCTTGTTTTTTTATTTACCAAACCATCAGATGAACACATTGGACTCCAGCTGTCTCCGTTACATCATCCACAACAGGGAACAGAGAAGTTGCTCTGTGTAGGTACTCAGCAGCAACAGAAAGCAGCCCCAGGGGAAGTGGCTGCAGATAGAGTGGGGAGGAAGAGAGAAGTAATTCCTCCCTGGATGTTTTCCCTGAGTTTCCTTCCCACCCCAAGGAACAGAGCCACAGAACCAGGGAAGAAACGCTAGAAAAGGCACTCGCCTGCCTCCAGGAAGCCACTTACACTCCATGTTTACTGGCAGATAATCACTGCTCGGTACAAACTGGGGATTTCCTACAGCTGTGCTGTACTGCTGGGCTTCTGTTCACACTGACCCTGTTCCAACACCCTCACTGAAGCCAATAGCATTTTTCCCAGTGACTGCACAGGGTTTTGGATGTGGCCCACTACAGCCAGTAGCACCGGCTGCAGCCAAAATCTTGGCTTATTTTTTGTAGGGAATGGGAATAGATGATCACAGTTATTCTTCCTAGCCATAAAAATCAGTGCAGTATCTTCTTCTGATACTCCTTGCCTCTCCCTAACAGAGAACACTTATTCTGCTCTATTTCTGACCAAGTTTCCTGGGAAATATTAGATTTCATATAGTTTTTTTTCTCACTGAAATGTTCTCACTGGGATGCTTAGACATCAACACATTCGTATCCAAGGGATCCTGAAGAGGTTAGCCAGAGGTGATTACGTCTCAAATGATGTTGTACTATAATTGCTCAGGATATCAGCTTAAATGAAATAATCTGCACAGGAGAGAAGAAACAGTAAAGCTAAGGAAGGAAATTGCTGCTATAATTACTAGAGTATTTCTCTTTGAGGTATTAAGAAGAAATTTTTATAACATAAAAAGCCTGGAGAGGATGACATGTGGCAACTACAGACTGGATGGCAGAGCCTCTCTTACCTTACATCAGCTGTAACAAGGTTCCTGAACATTACTTATAAGTAAATGGAGGGTAAGAGTAGAAGCTAGGAGGGTAGGTAGAAAACAGCCCGGAGTGATCATCTAGCTCAAACACTTTATAATCAGCTACAAAGATAAAAGATATGGGACAAGTACCCTCCTTTAGGGTCTGTTGCCACTGAAGCCATTCAAGCTTTCCTATTAACTTCAGCAGTGGAATGACCAGACCCAGAGCCAACAAGGGTAAGGATAGCAGTCACTCCTTACAAAGAACTGCCACACTTCTTTCCTTTGATCATTTTTCTCTTGCACCCTGAGAGACTGTCCTGAACAAAAAAGTGAAATTCTCACAGCTAGAACAGCCTCCCTGTTCTAAACATAAAACTGCCATGTAAAGTTCTCATGTTTCCTCTCCAGCTCTTATAATATTTCCAGAAATATGCTTTATTGGAAGCTCTGAAGAAATGTGGATTTGAGATTTCCAAACATCTCACGCTTTAACGTGCAGGTACACAATTGTGTGAACCTCACTAAGAAAACACACGATTAAAATAAAACCTAACTCCCACTGGAACATTTCCTAGTTTAGAACCCTACAAATGGCCAGACATGGGGTCATTTTGGGTATCAAGCAGAGCCCTGAGGGATTCATTGCTTCACAGTCCCTCTTGGTAAAGGGGATTTTAAGATTGCATTTTATTCCTGTGGTACATCAGTGAGACACGCTCCTAAGGAGGGACTAGAAACAAGCATTTTTCTAACAGAACTCTCAGTACCAGTGATGCTCTGAAGACATGAAATCCTCATGGACCTGCCAGAGAATTGCACGGGAAGCTGCAAAGCAGATCTGGTTTAACCTTTCTCTTCAGATTTTGTACAACTTCCAGCAGGGTGACCAGTGACAGCAAATAGATTGGAAATTTCTCAGTTACAGGATTGCTCCCTGTCTTTGCTTAAGCCACTGTAGCTTTGAAACAACAAATTCTTGGCGAAAAGCACGGCTTACAAAGCAGAACAACAGAAAAGAGACCAGAAATTGATGAGCAGCCCAGGTGAGCACCATCCGCTTCTCCTAAGAGCAGAGTGGCTAATGACCCCTGCCCAGCAGGGAGGTCACTCCGGCCTAATAGATGGCATCAGGAGTAGGTGGGGTTGCAGGTTTATCTAAGGTGGCAACCAGAGCTAATAAGCCAGAGACACTCTCATAAACACAGCACCAGTTGTGCCCTGCACTGCCCTCTGTGTGCACTTAAAGAAGCAGTACAGATCTGTTCTTGCAGTGTGCAGAAAAACAGCCCAGCCTCATTTTGCCTGTTTGTGACTGACGCCCATGTACAGCTGCAGGCCCTGAAGGACTGAGTTCACATCAAAAGTGATGAGCATGGACCACCCAGAACTGAAGAAGCTGGGCACACATCCCAGGTGATGAACCGCAGTGCTTCATTAGCAGCCCCCAGTGTCCCCATCTGATAGGTGCTGGTGTATGACTAATGATTGAAAATTCTATTTCATTACAGTAATTTGATTTGGCTGCGATGGGGAGGCAGTGTTTCAGACACTTTCATTTTATTTCAGCAGAAATACTAGGCAGTGGTTTGCAGGAAGGAAGGAGAAATCCTCACAGCCATTCCCATGCAAAGCCGTATATTTAGGTTCAGTGCAGGAAGCACTGCAGACACTGAGGGCAGGTACTCTCCTGAAAAACAGCCACAGCTCCTTTACAGATAAGGCACATAATCAACTGTAACTTCTCCCATTAGGGATCCTCTGCATGTATTCCTCTCTCTGTTTATCGGTTCCAAGTCCTGCTCTGCTGTCATACAGGAGGCATCTCTCTAGAATTTCTCCTTGCTCTTGCAAAGTACACAGAGCCTAGAGCAGACACAAAAGATGGATTCAGTCCTCTGTGCCAGCTCTGTTTAATGCACAGATCCCATCCTGCTCTCAACACAGAATATTCCTTTTCTGCCCAAACCCACTGTGAGCAGGAGCTTTCTCTATAAACACACATTCTTCAACATATTTGTTCAAAGCTATTATCCTGAATTGGACCTCCAAAGATAAAAAGTCCTAAGTATTTTCCTTTCTAGTACTTGATTTGTATGAAAATTCCCAAATATGTCTGAAGCCATATGATGGGCACCATAAAAACACACTGAAAGAAGATCTGTACCTATGCCAAACAGAAAAGACAGAGGGGAAGAAAAGGAACTGTTACCCCTCTTTATGGAGACTTGGAAAGGTTAGTGTGACTTGCCCAAGGTCATACAGAAATTCTAGGGAACTGAACTGAGACCACTGCAGTCCCAACACAAAATCCTCATTACCAAATCCAATTTTCCACTTTTCCTTTCATATGTTTTTTTTCATGCATTAAAACATTTCCCATAAGCTGCTTTTTCTTCCCAGGAAGAATAGGAAAAGCAAAGGCTGGAAGCTGCCCTTGTTAAACTAGGTTACACAGCCAAACGAATTTAAAATGATACCTCAGCAAGAATTTCCAACCTGCCTGCAACAAATAAAAGGACTTTCACCCTGAAAACATGTGAGTGCTTGGGAGAACTAGCAGAGAGAATCTGGCGAGGCTCCTGATGAAAGAGATGAGCTGCAATATGTATATGCACAAGTTCATGTATTATTTAAACCACTCTGATCAGAATAAGCATTGTGAGCACAGTGCTGAAAGTGTCACTAGCATTCATACATCGAATAACTTGCCCTCATAAGGATATAATAATGAATTCATCGGTTTTGTTTGTACTCCCAAAGCAGTAGCAGCAGAAAGAGAGAATAACCTTGCATGTTGCAAAAAGCACATAAATATAAATCTAATTATATCTTTCCTTTACACTATGACCAAGAAATGGTGATGCTCACTGGAGTATAACATATGAGACCAAGGACACTCCTAAGGGCCTTTGTGTAAGTCTGCTTCTATGTTCAAGTCTAGCCTGAGATTTGAGAGGTTGAAACAGATATATCATGCTATAGTTGGTCAGCCTGCCTCAGTAACCTAGTGGTAGGTCCTTTCTGCAATAGGTGGGAGATTCAGATTGTATCTTCAGTGATTCTGTCACACCTCATGTTTGCTACTGCACACCGCACATCTCTCCACAGATAGCCCATGGACTAACAGCTAAATCAGAGCACTGATGGTTCCCTGGGAAGACATCCTGTCCTCAGTGGTCCCAAAGATGACTCTGCATGTGGGATGGTGGGGAGGGTGAGGAGGGAGAGAGACCACAGCAGGTAAAAATGGAGGAATATAGTCGTTCTCAAGGTATACCGAAAGCTCCCCTGCCTACGTCCACACACACCTTATCAAGCAAAATAATGAAGTCACACAAACTGAAATCAGGGTGTAATAATAAACACAAAAACCCATCAACAGCTCCTTTTATTGTACTTAAACAGTTACTTCAGTGCATGATTTCTATACTAAATTGACTTATGAGCTGTAATGTCAGTCTTTTACATTTTTATCCTTTTTTTACCCTTTTACATGTTAGTGAATTGTATTTTCACTGGAAAACTTACTCAGCAGCCTGTTCCTACTTGTAAAACTGGCAAGACTCCCACTGGTTTCATTCAAAGGTTCAGGCTGTTAATGATGACTCAATCAATCAATCAATCAGTTTCTTG